AGGCCGCTGCCAGCGACATATTCAGCCCCAAATGCAGCTGGAAGCGCCAGCGCTACCGACTGAGCACCCAGGCCCAGAGCCTGCAGTTGCTGCCAGGTGTGGCCCTGACCAGGCACCAATCTGGCTGGGGGGGACGTTGGGGGTGAGGCATGGGGGGGAGGCATGGGGGGTGCAGCTCACTTATCAGGGGCCAGGCCTGGCTTCCAGGCTAAGGCTTTCTCCTTCGTCCCCATCCCCACCCAGGCCTGATCCATGTGCACAGAAGGAAGATGTTTCAAGCCTCGATCCTTGCAGTAGAAAACTTGCAAAGCAGCAAATCTACGTGAGGAAGTCAGCTCACCCCATGTCTCCACCCTCCCCCTCCCCCAACCCTTCCCTATGACCCGGTTATGAACCCTGAACGCCAGCATCCTCCTCCCCTTCTTCCCACCCCTCCCGCATGGCCGCCTCTAACTCCCCTTCCCCTCTCAGCCGGGCCACGATCCTGGTGCGTCTGGACACTGGAGGCCAGGAAGGGCTGCAGTACCAGCCTGGAGACCACATAGGCATCTGTCCCCCCAACCGGCCTGGGCTGGTGGAGGCACTACTGAGCCGCGTGGAAGACCCACCACCGCCCGCCGAGTCTGTGGCAGTGGAGCAGCTTGAGAAGGGCAGCCCTGGTGAGGGTGCAGGCCGGGCAGCACAGGGACAGCCAGCTGCATCCTCCAGTCTCAGACTCAGCCTCAGCCCTAGCAGAGTGCCACCCCCCTTCCCAGCTCAGCACCAGCCCAGAGCTGGCTGTGCACCACTGCCAGGCTGGCCCTGCTGCTGGATGGTGCACACAACACATGGTCCCTTTCTCAGAATCTGTCCCCATGTACCCCAAAAAGCTGTCCCCTACTTCTGGGCTCCTCCCACATTCTCCCCCTGGCAGACTAACTTGCCCTATGGGGTGCATCTTCTATCAAATCACTACACAAATGAAGGTACACTGGGTGAAGCCAGACCCAAGGGGTGTCCAAATCAACTCCATCTACCCAGGGACCCCCAAACAGACACACCCAGGCTGTCCACAGAGGCCACCACCACCGTTCAAGGGCAAGTTCTCCAAAAACCATGGTGACCCAGTCAGGCCACCAAAGTCAACTTCAACCCAGACAACAGAGCCTGGGCTGAGGCCCCTCCTCAGGGCCCGCTATGCACCCCCAGGTGGCCCTCCTCCCGGCTGGGTACGGGACCCCAGGCTGCCGCCATGCTCACTGCGTCAGGCCCTCACCTTCTTCCTGGACATTACCTCTCCGCCCAGCCCGCGCCTCCTTCGTCTGCTCAGCACCCTGGCCGAAGAGCCCAGCGAACAGCAGGAGCTGGAGGCCCTCAGCCAGGTGGGGCCCCAGGGTGCGGAGCAGAGCCTAGGGCAGATGATGAACTGGGGGGAACCATACAAGGCCCGCCCCATGCTTTCTGCTCCTGGCCAGAATACACTGCTGCTGTGAAACCCAGCTCCAGGCCAACCTATCACTGGAAGCTCAAGGTCTCTTTGGTTTTCTGAGACAGTCTCACTACCTAGTTCAGGTTGACCTTGAACTACAATCCTCATGCTTCAACACCCCCCCCCCGTGTGCTGGGGTCACAAGTGAACATGACCAGCTTTTTCCCCTCTTTCTGGATGCTCAAGGTCTTAAAGATGTGTTGCTTGGCCTGAACTGAAGAACCCTAGGGAGGCTCAGTAGGGAGGGCTCACGAAGGGATGTCACTGGAGAGCGCACAGGAGCTCCCTGCCCAGGGCTTTCTTCCTACCAGGACCCACGGCGCTATGAGGAGTGGAAGTGGTTCCGATGCCCCACCCTGCTGGAGGTACTGGAGCAGTTCCCATCTGTGGCCCTGCCTGCGCCCCTGCTGCTCACCCAGCTGCCCCTGCTCCAGCCTCGGTACTACTCTGTCAGCTCCGCACCCAGCGCCCACCCCAAAGAGATCCACCTCACGGTGGCTGTGCTTGCATACAGGACCCAGGGTAAGGCTGGGAGCAGGGTGGGCCTGGCCTCAGCAGGCTGGGGAAGAAGACCCCTCATGGCTTCTCTCCTCCCCTAGATGGGCTGGGGCCTCTGCACTACGGGGTCTGCTCCACGTGGCTGAGTCAACTCAAAGCTGGTGACCAGGTGCCCTGCTTCATTAGGGGGTAAGTGGCTAAGTGCCCTGGAGGATGAGGAGGGACATGAAGAGAACATATGTCTGTCCAAGCCAGAGTAGAGAAGGGTCACAAGGACATCTGGGGACGGGTAAGGAATCAAGGGAGGGTCACACAGGATCCAGTGGTAGCTCTGGTGAGAGGGGTTATTAGAAACAGGAGGGACCTCATAACAGACCCAGCACAGGGTATCAGTGGATCATTAGAACTCTGGCTGACCAGTTTGACTGAGGGTCCTGCCCTAGAACTGTAAGACCCAGGGACTCGGCAGGGCTGAGGCCACTGGCTCTGTGCTGGCGTGGCTTCTGCATGCCTCTCTGCACCCCTGGACACATCCCGGGTTGGAAAGCACAGCAGACCAGACTGTGGTCTCCAAGACCGCACTGGGTCGAGGGAGGACACACATAGTATTGCAGAGGAGATAACATCCTGCCCTCCACCGGTCCAGAAGTCTCTCCAGCCCAGCAGTCAGAGGCCAAGTCTAAGTGGGCTTGAGAATTCCCAGGCTGGTACCAGCTAGGCCCAGGGATCCAAACCTACCAAGCAGGCAAAATTACCAATAAATTACACCAATTCATTATAAACCAGATATCAATCTTACAGCTATTTAACAATACTTGATGAGCCCCTTATGGACCAAAAATCTGTCTTCCCTTCCCCTATTTTTATATTTTATTTTGTTTTATTTGGTGGAACCAGGGATTGAACTCAGACCCTTGCACTTGCCAGGGAAGCTCTTATTCTACTGAGCCATCTCCCCGGCCCTTTATTTGTGTTTTTGAGACAGGTCTCGCTGTGCAGTTCAGGCTAGCCTTGAACTCACTTTGTAGCTCAGGCTGGCCTCAAACTTGAAGTGGTCCTCCTGCCTCAGCCTCCTGGGTGCTGAGATTACAGGCATGCACCACCACACTCCTGGCTCCCTGTATTTTTAAAAGCCCATAAACTTAGTTATCTAAATATCTTTCAGTCCAAACTAAACTGTATTTTCTGCTGGTCCAATCCCTAAGCACCACAGGCCCAGAGAGTTTGTGGCTGTGAGCAGAGTTCTTTTAGTAAACAATTACATAATCTTACATGACCAGACTAGGAGTGCTAATGCACTTGTCACTGGGTCTTGGGTGGTGGGGACAGGGGACCCAATGGAGGGGAGGCCTGACCAGGTGTCTCTGGCCAGGGCTCCTTCCTTCCGGCTCCCACCTGACCCCAGCTTGCCCTGCATCCTGGTGGGCCCCGGCACTGGCATTGCCCCCTTCCGGGGATTCTGGCAGGAGCGCCTGCACGACATTGAGAGCAAAGGTGAGGCCCAACGAACACTCAGGATGGTGCGGAGGCAGGGGGAGGGACAAAGGGGCGGGGCTGGAAGAAGACTGGAAGAGAGAGGACAGAGAGGGCAAGAACCGAGCCAAAGGTGAAGGGAAGTTTACTAGACCAAGGCAGAGAGAGGGACCAGCGGAAGAGCTGGTGCCAGTCATCTGCCTCCTGGCGCCTGGCACATGGGGGCTGTTGAGGATCTGGGTGAACATGGGACCACCAAGAGCTCGGTGTTTCAGCCCCTAAATGCCGGACTGTCAGCCTGGGTGGGGGTGCCGGTGGGGCGGCGTCAGTAGGACTACCCCAGATGAAGGGATCCTTCCAAACGCCGTGTTGCCTGCAGGGCTGCAGCCTGCACCCATGACTTTGGTGTTTGGCTGCCGATGCTCCCAACTCGACCATCTCTACCGCGACGAGGTGCAGGATGCGCAGCAGCGTGGGGTGTTTGACCGCGTCCTCACCGCCTTCTCCAGGGAGCCCAACAGCCCCAAGGTGCGACACTCTGAGCTCTTAGAAGCGACCTGAAGATAGTGAGGCGGAAGAATGCAAGGGGCACGCTGAGGCTCAGGCCCAGGACCCGCCCCGCCCCCGGCCCAGGCCCCGCCCCAGGTGCCACCCTGGAAATGTAGGTCTCACCCCGGTCGCCGGGGGTCCTACCACGTCTCGGCCCTCAGACTTACATCTCCCCTCAGACGTACGTGCAGGACATCCTGCGGACCGAGCTAGCTGCTGAGGTGCACCGCGTGCTGTGCCTCGAACGGGGCCACATGTTTGTCTGCGGTGACGTCACCATGGCAACCAGCGTCCTGCAGACTGTGCAGCGAATCCTGGCCACCGAGGGCGACATGGAGCTGGACGAGGCCGGGGACGTCATCGGTGTGCTGCGGGTGAGGAATTGTGCCCCAGCTGGCTGGCCTGGGTGACCCTGGTGGGAGGTCTGCTGTCCTCTCCAATGCGGTTTCTGATCTGCTGAGCTTTCCCCGCAGGATCAGCATCGCTATCACGAGGACATTTTCGGGCTCACGTTGCGCACCCAGGAGGTGACAAGCCGCATACGCACCCAGAGCTTTTCCTTGCAGGAGCGGCACCTGCGGGGTGCAGTGCCCTGGGCGTTTGACCTGCCAGGCCTAGACACCCCCAGTCCTTGACAGCCTATGGCATCCAGTAGGTGTCCCAGAGAGAGGGACTGCACTGGTGGATGACCGGCCTGCTCATTCCCCTGGGAGCAAGTGGCCGCCTCCTTCCTCCAGGCCGGCTCCCGACAGGGTCCCTGTAACCCTGAGCACTTAGCAACAGTGGTGTTCAGGGCGTGCTGCCACCCACTTCAAGTACGTCAGTGACCTGCAGTTCCCCCTCCCCTGCCCCCCTCCAGAGTAGCTCACCTTTAAAGCCTATCTCTGAACCATTCCAATAAATATTTATTATTGAAGATTTACCACAAGAGACTACACCAGGTGTTAGACGATGCCTCACCCAGCCCGTGGATTACAACTATAAAAGGCGAGTTTTGTGTTTTGACTTGTACAGATGTGGGGCCGGTAATTCTTGAACATCAAGTCCTACACACGGCACATGAACCAGCATTATAAAAACAGCCTCCAGCCAACCACAGACAGTTCTCCTGTGTTCTTCCCTGGGGCTTTATTGCAAAGGCAGGTGGCGCCGTCGGCTGCCAGAAGCGCCATCTGGGACATGGGAGCAGTTCTGACTGCTGCTGTCACGCAGCGTGAGGCACGCCCACTCCCGCAGACTGCTCAGCAGCCATAAAGTCCCAAACATTAGCCCCTCGAGTCTTTCCACATACGAGGCCCCATCCCCCAAGCCCCCGTGAACATGAGGGGGGTCAGCAGCACACAACCTGGGTCTCAGGCCATGTGCCATGGATTGCCTGGGCCCTGCCCTGGCACTCTGAGGATACTTGGGGATTTCCCATGCAACTTCTCCTGGACAGCCAGGCATTTGGATAGGTGACCCCTTCTTAGTCCTTTGTGTGGGGACTGTCTCCAACACTTGACTCTCACTGCCACAGTCGGTGCTTCTTTCTCTGTTCTCTGGGCCAAGTTCCTCCATAACCCCAGGTCCTGTCTCAGGAAAGCATCTGGGCCTTTCATCTCCGTAAAGATGACATTTCGTGTCCTTCTACGCCACCCCGTCCAATCTGCTGCACCTACAGGAGCCAGGAATCTGGGGGGAGAAGAAGGCACTTGGAAAGCATCCAGAGCCCACACTCTACAGAGGCCACCCCCAGCACCCCAAGCCATGAGCGGTCCCATCCCTCCAAGGCTAATTTCCTGCCCGGGCCTTCCTTCCAAAGTGAGCAATACCAAAGACGCTGGCTCAGTCGGTGTCAGGGGCCTGGCCAGGCTCCCCCTGGGTGTCTGTGGTCTTCTGAAAGTCTTCAGGGAACAGATTCTGGGCCCTCAGCTTTCCCCACTGCTGTCTGGGGCTGGAGGCAGGGCTGGAGCCTGGTAACAAAAGCCATCAGCTGGGTAGTGCCACGATGGCCCACATCCGCCAGGATCAGCCCCCTGCACCTGCTCTGCTCACCATCACTTGACCAGGATGGCTTCTCCTCATCAGGCGACGCTGGCTGTGAGGGGCTAGACCAGGCCCTGGACGGTGAGGAGGCCGAGGCTTCTCCCCACAGCACCTGCTGCTGCTGCTGATGGAGCTACGCAGAGGAAGAGGAGTGAGGCCCCTCTGCCCTGAGCTAGCTCAAAGGGCTTCCTCCCATATCTTCCCAGCATCCATCTGCTCACCTGGTGCAGGTAGATGGCATGCAGACTCATCTCCGCAGAGGCCAGCTCTGGGAGCTGGAGTAGCTTCTGGCCCCCCGTGACGCCTCCTGGGGACACACAGCTGGAACAAGGGGTGTACCAGGTCAAGCAGGTCAAGACATGGGCACCCCAGGGAGAGAGCCTGCCTGCGCTTCCCCTGCATCCGGGCTTGCACCACTCACCTGGGGTCCTGAGCAATTCGGGAAATGGAGGCAAGAACGCTGGCTGTGGCAGCGGCTGGACGGGTAGCTGTGGGACTCACATCCCTCGGGGGCAGGATAGGGTTCACCAAGAGGTTGGCCAGGAAGGCATCTGGCTGCTAAATGAGGAAAGCCGAGGAGGTCAGCAGAGAGGACAGGAAGGGAGGGAACAGAAATCTAAAGGAGGCAGGAAACTGGACCTGGTGGCACATGCCTGTAATCCCAACTTTCAGGAGGCTGAGGCAGGGAGGTGGCCATGAGTTTGAGGCCAGCGTGGGCTACACAGTGAGTTCAAGGCCAGCCTGAACCACATAGCAAAACCAATGGTCAGTACCTTTGAGAATGACAGAGGAATAGGCTAGGCCTGGGACTCACCAGAGGTGAGGTGCAGTCGCTGAGCACCCCAGGGGTTGGGGGGCTTCGAGCGGAGGTGGCCCCCCAGGCCGCTGCATCTTGTTGTACCCGGCCCCGAAGGTGGCCAAGGAACTTAGAGCTGTGCCCTGGGGGGCGCCACTGTGGATGCGCCAGCGAGAACCGCATCAAGGAGAGTTCAGTCTTCCCATTCTCAGCACGCTGGGCTGTGGAGGCCTCCGTCTGTCCCTCTGAAAGCCACTGCAAAGAAGGACTGGTGCTGAGGTGCCTGCGCCTCTCAGGGGAGGGGCAGGGCAGGGACACACATGTTCCACACTTCGGGTCATTCAGAACACAGCCACCGAGCAGAACCTGGGCCCAGACTCAGCCTTCTCTGTGCCCGCCCCCTGCAGTCCCCTTGTGACCCCACCCACTCTCCAGTCCTCTGTTGGGCTCTGCATCCATAGCAACTCTGCAAAGAGCTCTAAAGATGTCCTGTCATCCTCAGGACAAGCCTGTGTGCTGGTCCTGTCATTGTACATCAGAGTACAGAGACTTGCTTAAGGTCACAGGCAGCAAGCAAGGAAGGGAGCTGGGCTTGGAACTCAGTCTGCTCTGATGAAGGGGCGGGCACCAGGGCGCCAACCTGAGGGTGGCCATGGCGCTTCACATCCATGAGAGCAAAGGAGCAGATGTCCCCGACCCCGGCCACATCCACAGTGAAGTGATGAAAAAAGTCGATAAACTCCAGCGCTCGAGGACGGAACCAGAAGAGCAGAAAGAGCGGAGTGAGGAGTGGGGACAGCAGCTCTTCCAGGAGGGAAGCCTGGAGAAGAAGAGGTAGGTAGGGCTCAGCAGCGGTCCTTGGGGGCACACACAGGAGATGGAACCAAGGAACCCCAGGGACGCTTTCCAGGACCGGGAGCCTCCAACCCAGTCATCGCACAGGCTCTGGGGATCTCCTGTGCGGCCACATGGAGGCAGCCCTCTGCAGATCCAGAGCCTTACCGCTCGGTACTGCAGCAGCTGCGACATCTGCCGATAGTCGCTGTCCTTGACAACAGCTCTGGGCTCCTCCGGGAGGTAGTGCATGTGGGCCAGCGCCGCCTGCAACAGGAGCTGTGGAGGTCGCCCCTGCCCCTGCTCCTCTGGGAGGAAACACCTGCAGGCCGAAGCGGGGGTTAGAGGACCGGCGGAAGAGCCCACCTCCACTCCCACCCTCACCCCCAGCCCGGGGATGCACGCGACTGGCACCTGGCCACGGTAGCCACGATCCCGAGCGCGGTCATGGTGGTAAACACGTGCTCGACGGTGAGCACGTCCTCGTCGTAGACGGTGAGCAGCAGCAGCGCAGCGAAGAGTGCGCCGGCGAAGAAGAGGAGCTGGCGGGCCAGCAGCGCGCGCAGGGGCGCGGGGGGCTCGGCGGCGCGCAGGAAGGCGGTGGCCGGACGGTAGGCGCGGGCCAGGCGCGCGCGCAGCTCGTGCGGCAGCTCGTTGAAGTGGCGCAGCTGCAGGCGCGCCAGGCGGGACCAGCGCCGCGCCCCGAAGGCGCCGGGCTCGCGCCGCAGCAGCTCCGCGTGGCTGTAGAAGGCGCGCAGCACCTGCCAGGCCAGCACTACCGGGCTCAGCGCCAGGTTCACGACAGCTAGCAACAGCGCTGTGCGCCCCCAGCGCGCCGCCAGGGCGCCTCGCTGGTCACTGCGCTTGTAGGCGTCGGGCAGCTCCCAGCCTCCGCGGAAAAGCGAGAAGGGGCCGCGGAAGAGCAGCAGGTCCACGTTGAGCGCCAGGCCGCGGCTGAGGAAGGCTACGCTGCCCCCCCAGGGCAGTGGGCAGCGGGCCGGCAGCAGACCCTTGTTGGCCAACGCCACCTGGTAGTTGGTGTAGCGTAGGATTCGGTGGTGCACGTCCAGTTCAGTGAGCGGCCGCGGCTGCACGCACAGCCCCCCGCTGCGCTGCAGCTCCAGGAGCCGCGCCTGGACCTCCGCCCACGGCGCAGAGCTGAGTTCTTCCTACCGTGGGAGGGGGCAGCGGTGAGCAGCTGCTGCCCTAGCTCCCCTCAGTTCACCAAGACCAAAGCAAGGTCCCTGCCCCTAGCCGCGTTTAGGTGGCTTTCTCTCCACCCCTACCCGCCAGGAGCACTTGTGACTTTCTCTCACCCTTCTCAGCATCGCCCTGTGCCTGCCACCCTTGCCACTCATGTGGCCCTCAGCTGTGTGCTTCCCAGTGACATCTCTGTAGCAGACTCTGGGTATCTGACCTGGCTTCTCAGCTCTTTAAGAACTGGAGCTCCTGAGAGACCCTCCGCTTCCCATTTCCTCTCGATCCCAGGCCTCCACGGCTGCTGCTCTGATAAGCTTTGAGGTCCCCAGTGCCACCCCACTCCTGGTTACTTGGACTCTGGCATCATGTTAGCTTTCCAAGACCCCAGCTGAGTCTTTGAATAGGGGCAAGGATGCTGCCAGACCTCCCTAGAGAGCTGCAGACCCCACCTCAGCCTGGGCAGCCTCTCCAGCTCATACAAATGTCTCCCCTGCCTCTGAAGGAACTGGACAGGAAGGAACAGGAAAAGAGGAGGGAGGAATCAACAGGGCCTGGAGGAACAATGGTCACATTCCCACTGTCCATCTGCTCCACCGGCCTCCTGTCTTCTCCTTGCTCCATGCCTGGTGTCCCCCTACCCCTGCACCTTCTAGAACCCTCCACTTGTGCTGGGGGAGGGTGTGTCAAAGCCCCGAACTTCCCAGAGTGAGCAAGGGACTTGTGCTACTTAGCTCCAAAACCAGTAGCCACAGCAACAGCAGCAAGGTAGAGAGGAAAGGAAGGGCAGACAGACAGCCTGAGCAGGGAACAGGGATAAACCAACAAGGCCCTGCAGGCTCAGTTTTAGGCTCGAAATGTGTCCGGCACATGCCCTGCACTGGAGTCAGGACCGCCCTTCCTGACTCCATCCTGACCTTCCAAGCCCAGCTCCAACTCCCACTGCTCTAGAAGCCAGGCGCAGCCCTTCCTCTAGGCACCCATTGTTTGCACCAAGAGCATGTGACTCTAAATCATCTTCCATGACTCATCTAAATAAAGGAAGCTCCACAGGCCAAGGGCTCTGCTCTGCAAGTGGCAATGCCCACCTCTGGCACCCAGTGTCACCACGCTGCCCTCTTTCTGTTCTCTTCCCACCCACTCACAGCAGACAACGCTGCTGGCACAGCTCACCGGGGGGATGTGCAGGGCCTCCCTGTAAAACACCCGGATGTCCCAGTAGCTGAAGAGGCTGCGAAGAGAGCGAAGCAGCTGGAACAGCCAGTAGCAGGCAGCCAAGAAGAGGAGGAACACCAGCAATGGGCTGGCATGGATCCTGTGTGGAGACATGGGCGGGAGGTGAGAAACCCAAGAATAAGACCAACACCAGCACACCAACAGGCCTCACAGTGGGGCCCAGAAAGGGGATCCCCAAAGAGGCCCTCACAAGTGTCTGCAAAGCCAACACTTTTGTTGCAAAACACTAGTATCTCTTGCCATTTGCACTCTCATTCACCCATGAGTGTGTGAGGTCTCCAGACCCTGTAGGATGTGCTAAGACATCACACCCGGTACAAGCCCAGGCTGCTTGCTTTTTTTTTTTTTTTTGCACCAGGGATTGAACCCAGGACCTTGTGCTCCCAAGGCAAGCGCTTATTCTACTGAGCTATCTCCCCAGCCCAAAGCCCAGGTTTGAAGCACCCTCAGGTCCAGGGCTCAGAGTGCAGCTCAATGGTAGAGCCTTTGTCTAGCATGCTCCAAGCCCTGGGTTTGATCCCCAACATGAAAAAATAAAAGGTTAGAGATTTCCTCAGCTTGAATTTCTAGTAAGGTAAGTATAAGTCAGACATAATTCTTCAAAATAAAGGCTCTTTGGGGTTCTCAATCAATCTCAAGTGTATTCCAAATTATATTCAGGTCAGGGTGTCATGGCCCATGCCTATAATCCCAGCACTCAGGAGGCTAAAGCAGGAGGATCACCCTGAGTTCCAGGCCTGCTTGGATTACATACCAAGATCTTGTCTCAAAAAAATAAACAAGAGGGAGCTGGGGAGATGGCTCAGTAGAATAAGTGCTTGCCTGGCAAGTGCAAGGCCTGAGTTCAATCCCTGGTTCCACAAGAAGAAAGGGGTCTGTAATCCCAGCTCTTGGAAGGCTGTAAACAGGCGGATCACTATGAGTCTGATCTAGTAGTAAGACCCTGAACACCCTGTAGACCCTTCCCCCCACCAAAAAAAAAAAAAAAAAAGGAACAAGGACTGGGGAGATAGCTCGGCAGTCTAAGAGCCTGCCTGGCAAGCACAAGGACCCAGGTTCGATCCTTGGTACCTCATGCCATGCCAGTCCTGAAACTCTGAGCACACCATGCAGACCCCAGAACTGGGCATGGTGGCCCACACCTATAATCCCAGCACAGGGGAGGCTGAGACAGGAGGATCACTAAGAGTCTGAGCTGTGTAGCAAGACCCTGTATCAAATAAATAAATATCGAGAAAAAACTTTTTTAAAAAAACACACATTTGAGGGGCTGGAGAGATGGCTCAGTGGTCTAAAGCACCTACTTGAAACAAGCTTGGCAAAGCACAGGCGGTTCGATCCCCAGCACCACATGCCAGCCAGACCCGCCCCCTGGTGGGCTGAGCTGGCCACACACACACACAATAAATAAATGTAATAAATAAAAATAAATAAATATTAAAAAAAAACATTTGGGGCTGGTGAGATGGCTCAGTGGTCTAAAGCACCTACTTAAAACAAGCTGAACAAAGCACAGGGACCGCTGTTCAATCCCCCAGCTCCACATGCCAGCCAGCCACGCCCCCTGGTGGGCTGAGCTGGCCACACACACACACACACACACACATAAATAAACAAAATTTTTTTAAAAATTAAAAAAACACACACACACATTTAGGGGGGGCCAGGGAGATGGCTCAGTGGAATAAGCGCTTCCCTGGCAAGCGCAAGGACCTGAGTTCAATCCCCAGTTCAAAAAAAAATAAAAAAAAAAAAAAACACACATTTAGGGCTCAGTAGGACAAGTTCCTTCCTGGCAAGCACAAGTTCCTGTGTTTGATTCCCAGTCCCCTCCCCCCCAAAAAAGTCTGCAGAATGCAGCTCAGTGTGAAAGGCCTGGGTTTAATCACCAGCAACACACACACACAGACACACGCACATGCGCTTTTCTTTTTTAGTATACTTTAAGCTAAGCATGTAGCTTAAAGTACGGAGCTGTAATCCCTGCCCTTGGGAGGCCAAAGCAAGAGACTCACCACCAGGAGCTCAAGGCCGGTCTTAACTATATAGTGAGATCCTGTCTCAGCACAAACACCAGAAGGCAGCCACGCCCATAATCCCAGCACTTGGGAGGATGAGTTTGGGGTTTTTTGTTTTGTTTTGTTTTGTTTTTGAGAAAGGAGGATTATAAGAGTTCAAGATCAGCCTAGGGGCTACAAAAGTGAGCACAAGTTCAGCCTGAACTGCATAGTGAAATCCTGACTCAAAAACCAACCAAAACCCACTACGCTTTAAATCCTGAGGCCACTTTGAGAGCTACCAAGGTAAAGAGCAAAGAGAGTGTGTCTGTCTACTCCTCCAGCCCCAAGAGACCCCACCTCACCGTCACTCACCTCTCTGCACACTGGGCAGAGGGTAGGATGGCATCCGACAAGGTCACTTTGCCCTGGCCCAGCCTGGGTTTTGTATAGTTGTTGGGCTGATTGGCAAAGAGAACATCATAATCCACACAGCGAAGGAGAAAGGTTGTGAAGGTGACGATGAAAACAAATTGTCTGCGGGAGGGGAGTGTGGGGAAGAGGCAAGGGTCAGGCTTGAGGCTCCCCTTGCACCCCAACTCCTCTGGAGCCCTGGGCTGACAGACTAGAAGCAACGGTGCTAGGAAGGAAGATGCAGGCAGGCGCCCAGGACAGAGCGAGGGGCTGGGCAGCCTCTCACCCCAGTTGGAAAACGTCCTCCAGAAGGATGCAGGCGAAGCCGTTCCGCCGGTGGTAACTATACATGTGGCCCGAGTCAAGCAAGAAAGCAGGGCACAGCGCGCCCGTCCCAAGGGCGCCCCTCCCCCACAAGCCCAGTGCCCACTCAGTCTGCGCCAAGGCCACGCCAGCTCGTGCCAGCTCTGGCAGCCAGCACAAAGGATATATTGGTGAAGAACGTGTCCAGGTTCTGGATGTGGTGCCAGGAGCCTGGGAACAGAGAGGACCCCGTCAAAACATCGTAACCTTGGCACTAAGCCTTCACCTGGCTCAAACGAGTCCTCAGTCCCCAGCCTGTCCCCTGCACTCACCCCGGAGCCCTTCAGGCACGTGAAGTAGGGGCTGCTGCTCCTCCCCGTGGAGTGGAGAGTCTTGGGACCCCTCTGGGTCACAGTCCTCCAGCCTCTCATAATCCTGCTCTGAGACCAGAGGACCTATCCGCAGCCCACGAGGGTCCTGGGCGCAGCAGTGTGAGGGAGAGGGGGCAGACGAGGCCAAGGAGGGGGCAGACTGGGGTCTCCAGGGAGAGGGAGCAGAGCTGGGCACTGGTGCAGGCCGTGCCCGTTTTGGAGTGGTGGCTGGGATAGGCAGGGCTGTGTGGCAGGGCTGAGGAGCCCCTGTCCCCTGCAGCCCCCAGCACGGGGACCCAGGGGTCGCAGGGAACAGTGAAGAGGGAGAACTTCTTGTATGGGGGACAGAGGGCAGAGAGAAGACAGAGACCCTCCCTCCCCCAGGTGCCCGTCCTGGAGGAGCAGGTGGCAGCAGCAGTGGTGGCATGGAAACCAGGGGTGGCCCAGAGCCAGGGCCGGGGTCTCCCCAGTGCCTCAGCCGCCCCGGGCTCCCCCCCAAGCCCATTCGTCTCACCATCAGGCCGAGGCTCTTCCGAAGAAGTTAGAGGGATGGGGCTGCCACTGGTCACACAGAGGTCTGCGGGTTGAGCAGCCAAAGGACAATGACAACAACACCAGGTGACTCAGGCTGGGCAGGCCTGAGGCATCCCAGCTCCTGATCACCTGTGCGATCACCCACACCCCAGGGCAGGGCATCAGGAGCCAATGCATGCCTGGGAGGGGCACCAGCCAGGATGGAGGGGCTCAAGGGCTCGCTGGGACAGCTTCAGACCTTGAGGGACCACAGATAGAGAGCAGCAGCCAAAATAAAGCAGCAAGGGGGCGGGGGATTTGGCTCAGCAGTAGAACCAAGCTGGAATGTCCTCGCACCAAAAACAAAACAAAATAAACAAATAAATAAACCTCAACCAAAATAAAACAGCAAGATCCCATTAAAGGATGACAGGGCCCAGCCACAAGAAGGTATTAAATCTGCTAGGCAAGCATATTGCCCCAGCCAAAAAGTTTGTTTTAGGAGACAAAATTTTGTTTTTGAGATAGCAACTCTTTATATAGTTCATGATCACCTTGAACCCACAATGATCCTCCTGCCTCAGCTTCCCAAGTGCTGGGATTAGGGTGGGGCAAGATATCGAGATAGCTCAGCAACTAAGCGCCTGCTTGGGCAACTGCAGGGACCTGGTTTAATCCCCAGTACAGCATGCTGCCTCAGCCCCACCCCTGGGTGCACTAAGCTAGCCACAGAGTCCCAGCATGGTGGCGCGTGCCTGTAATCCCACTGTTGGGGAGGCTGAGACAGGAGGATCACTGAGTCCAAACTGCATAGTGAGATCCTGCACCAAATACAAAAAAAAAAAAAAAAAAAAAAGTGCTGGGATTAGAGATACATGTCACCACTCTTGGCTCTAAATCCTTTCTTTCTTTTTTTTTTTCTTTTTGGTCTCTTTGAGACAGGGTCTTGATATGCAGTTCAGGCTGACCCTGAGCTCACTTTGTAGCCCAGGCTGGACTAACAAACTCAGTGATCCTCCTACCTCAGCCTCCCGAGTGCTGGGATTACAAGCATGCACCACCATGCCCAGCTTAAATCTTTTATTTCTTAAAATAGTATGGTGGGGAAGGCCTATAACCCCAGCACTTGGGAGGATGAGGCAAGAGGACTGCCTCTAGTTCAAAGCCAGCCTGAATTACAGAGTGAGACCCTGTCTCAAAAAATAATTTTAAAAAAGATTGGGTGGTGGCACACTCCTATAAACCAGCACTCAAGGATTATAGCACTCAGGCCTTGCTGGGATTGTGGCTATAACCACAGCACGGAGGCAGAAGGTCACTGAGTTCAAAGCCAGCCTAAAATGTGCACAGAAACCCTGTCTCAGAAAGACAAACATAAAGAAGTAAATAATCTTATTTCTCTTCCCTTCACCCTCACATCTAATGAACAACAGGGAAAACTCAAAACAGAGACAAAGCCAGGTGTGGTGGTCCATGCCTGTAACCCTGGAGCTCAGAGATGCTGAAGCAAGGGCATTTACAGATTCCAGCCCTGAGTGGGCAGTTTAGCGACTTAGGGAGACTTTGTCTCAATTTTTTTTAAAAAAATCATTTTTTTTTATTTTTTTTTTATTTTGGTGGAACCAGGGATTGAACTCAGGCCCTTGTGTTTGCCAGGGAAGCGCCTATTCCACTGAGCCATCTCCCCAGCCCCTGTCTCAAATTAATATACAAAAAGGGCTATGGGTACAGCTCACTCGCTCAAAGGACCTGCGTCCAATCCCCACTACCACAAAAGGAAAGTCAAGGAAAAGGCTGAACTGTGTGTGGTGGCACATGACTGTGATCCCAGCTACTTGGGAGGCTGAGGCGGAGGATCACAAATTCAAGCCAATCTGGGAAACTTAGTGAGATCTGGCCTCAAAATAAAAATTAAAAATTAAAAGGAAGGCTGGGGATGTAGCTCACTGGAACAGCACCCCTGGGTTCAACCATTAGATAACATAGAGAGGGAGACTGAGACAGGCAGACAGACAGACAGACAGACAGACAGACAGACAGACATGTCTGAGGGTGCTAAAGGAGAGAAAAGGGGGAACTGTCTGAGTTTTCAGCCAGATGGGGGAGACCAAGGAAAAGAGTGAAGGAAGAAAAGGCAGATAGGCCAGACATGGTGCCACACACCTATAACCTTAGCACTCTGGAGGCTGAGGCAGGAGGATCACTGGGAGTTCGAGATCAGCCTGGGCTACAAAGTAAGCTCAAGGCCAGACTGAACTGCACAGGGAGACCCTGTCTCAAAAAGACAAAACAGAAAAAAGAAAAGGCAGCTATCCTTAAAAAGCAGTTTGGGAACTTAAAGTAGAAAAGCCAGGTTCCTTAGGGTATCCTTACATTTCCTTCCTTACCTTCCTGAACCTTGATGCCCTCTCTTCTGTGTCTGATCCAGTTTCCTCAGGTCCCTGAGCAGCATGTGGTCTGGACCCGCAGAGCAGACAGCAGTCGTCCAAGATGAGGAGGAAGGCTAGTTTGGGAACCTGGAGATGAGCTGCCCGAGGTAAGTTCCCTGTTGTCACCTCAACAAGGAGGAGGAGACCCAGGCAGCTGGTCTGGTGGCTTGCCCAACGCCATTCTTGAGGCCCTGAATCACAGGTGCCCTGCTGAAGACCATGCCTGAGATACTGACTCAGCCAGCAGGTGTCAGGGCCTCCCGGTTCAGGCCCAGGGGCTGATGTAGGCCAGCACCCGCGAAATGCGGAGGAACACAGTGCTTCCTAAACTGTTTACTGGAGGAATGTGGCAGCAGTCGCGGAACTGTCCACAAATGGAATCCACATGAGCTTGTGTTTCTCCTTCTGTGTCTCTTTTCTGGAAGAGGAACTGTCCCAGGAGCTCAAGACTTGCATACCTTTATGGCTGAGCAGGAGACAGAGCTACGGGAACAGCACCCACCCCTTGTACCGGCAGCAAAATGGAATCCTGAATTATAAGGGCATCAGGGAATCCCCATCATCTTCTGAGACTTCTGTCAAGATGGCTTCTGTGTGGTTTTGTCTAGTCTGTCCCTCACCTCACTCCCCTGATATCACCCACTCAGTACCCTAAACATATTAGGGCCCCTCCCCGTGCACCCTGAGTCCTCAGCCTCATCGTACGCATCCACCGACAGCCTCCCCACCACCACTCTCAATTCAGTGCAATTGCAAAGGGCATTTTTTCCTGCCAGCCATTTGGGGGAGGTAGACTGTATAAACAAGGCAAACCGTGACCCACCACCAAGTGACATTCCAGTGGGTGAGGCAGAGACGAAAATAATCACACGGAAGAAGTAAGTAAAAATTAAATAGGGGTGCCGGCGTTGTTCAAAATTGGGAGATCCTTCGAATTCAGGCCGCCATGAGGAAGGTACATGTCGGGGAGACCGATCCAAGATGTGCCTTGATGAACAACACTTCTTCATTGTTGAGTAGAGTTTATTAAATGCTACAATAAATAATATTTATTATTGGTGTTGTCCCAAGGGTGCCACACGCCTGTACGCCCAACGAACCAGAAGCCTGAGGTAGGAGGATCACAAGTTACCGGGCTAGGTAATTTAAGACCCTGTCTCAAAACTGAAAAAAAAAAAAGGGGGGGGGGATGGTTTAGCGCTCAGTAACTCAGGGCTTGCTCCCGGAGTTCAATCTGCAGGGGGGAGCGTGGCTTAAGGGGGGCGTCCGCATCACAAGCACCGAAGAGCTTCTGCACAAATGCATATAGTTATCGTTCAGGAGTTACGACCCGTCGAGAATAGCGCGGGAGGCAAGGGCCTTGGATTTGTTTTTAGCTCCCCGGAGGATATTGCTCATTAGCCACTCAGAGCCAGCGCCCTACGCTCCCTGGAAACCCCAGGCCTTCTAGAGACTGTCGGAAGTATCCTTAAGAAAATGACTAGAGGTCAGTGGCTGACGCGTTACTATAGACACTCCGGGATCTGGTAAACAGTTGCAAAAATACGCGTCACCCGGAGCTGACGAGCTCCTGTGGCCCAAGGCAGATCCCCTCCCTACGCAGCCCCGCCCACAGCCGGGAGTGGGCGGGTAGATAGGCGACGTTGTCCAATCACAGCTCGGGACGGGGGATGGAAAAAAATCTTCTCCAATCACAGCTTGCAACCAGATTGATGTGTCTTTCCACCAATCATCACCGAGGCGTCACGGGGTTATCGCGACGCGGGCCGTAGCCAACATGGAGCCCACCGTGGGATGAGGGGAATCTGCTGTTGCTGGCTGTGCCTGTTTCCGCCCCATCATGTTGATGCACCTATTTCGGGCCGGGATTCGGGGCGGCCCTGTCCCAGGCAGGTCGCTGTTTTCCCACCGGCTCCAGTCATTCTCGGCCGTCAGGTAAAAAGGGACAGAGTTCCCCGGAGCCCGGGCCATTGATCGGAAGGCAATGAGCGTGGCCCGTCGGGAGATGGAATCCCGAGCTCGCGCGAGGCCTGATGGGAGCTGATGCTAGCCGAGCCGGAGGTGAAATGTCACTCCTTGGGCGTCGGCCTCAATTATTCATAGCGACGGCCGAGGTGGCGGTGGGAAGCTCTGCGCGTCGGTGTCCTGGAGTCGGATTGACAAGAGTCCTCCGGGTCGGTGGCCACGCCCATTCCGCGTGCCCACTAGGGGGCACCACTCCCGGCCCTGTCGCATTGTTGAAATTGATCTGGTGATTGGCACAAAAAACCTTTAGTATCGAGACATTTATTATTGGTGGTACTCCCATGACCCAAAGTGACCCCATCAAAAGCAATTCCTGAGCCGGGTGTGGTGATGTTGGCCTGTAATCCCATCTCTGGGAAGCTGAAGCTGGAGAGTCCCAAGTTCAAGTTCATCTTGGACAATTTAGCAAGACCCTACCTTGAGAGAGTTTTTGTCTTTGCAGAACTAGGGATCGAACTCGGCCCTTGTGCTTGCCAGGCAGGTGCTTATGTCGCTGAGCTATATCCCCAGCCCTTGAGAGAGTGGGGTTTTGTTTGGTCTGTTGGTGTTTATTTGCTTTATACATGGGATTGAACCCAGGGCCTTTGCTCCCCAGTTTGTTTTGTTTTGTTTTTTCCTGAGACAAGTTCTAAAATTGCACCAGGGGCTGGCCAGATAGCTCAGCAGACTAAAGCGCCTGCTTAGGAAGAGCTCAGCACCTGGGGTTAAATCCCCTGGGGCACACTGAGAAGGTGATCGAGACTGGGTGGGATGATGCACCTGTAATCCCAGTGCTTGAGAAGCTGAAAACAGGAGGATCACTAGAGTCTGAACTGCGTAGTGAGACCCTGAACATCCTGTAGACCCTGTATCAAATACAGTAATTAATTAATTAATAAAATTGCTCCAATGGAGCCCGGGAAATAGCTCAGAATAAGCGCTTGCCTGGCAAGCTCAAAGGCCTGAGTTCAATCCCTAGTCCCCCCCCCCCCAAAAAAAAGGCACCAAGCCAAATTTACAATCCTCCTGTCTCAGCTGCCCAGAATACTGGGATTACAAGCTTAAAGCACCATGCCAGGCTGAGATACCTTGAAAAAAGGAAAACAAAGAAATGAATGGGATATAACTCAATGGGAAGGATTTAAGTTCAATCCTCAATACCAAAAAAAGACAAAAAGTAGTTCCTAGAATTGGAGATTTTTTTTTAATTTTTATTTATTTATTTTTTCAAATCAAATTGGTAGGACAGTTTCAATAATTCATACGTTGCATACATTCTTCCTAGTAGAATTGGAGATTTTTTTTTTTTTTTTTTAATTTTATGTGTGTGTGTGCACGGCCAGCTCAGCCCACCAGGGGGCGGGGCTGGCTGGCAGGCATGTGGTGCTGGGGGATTGAACCGCGGTCCCTGTGTTTTGCTAAGCTTGTTCTGAGTAGGTGCTTTAGACCACTGAGCCATCTCACCAGCCCTAGAATTGGAGATTTAAAGAGAACAAGAACCAGTTGTGACTGTTCTTGACAAAACAGTCTACTCCTGTTCTTGTTCATCCAGCGAGAGGAAAAGATGAGAAACAAGGATTTGTTTGGGCTTTTTTTGGGGGGGGCGGGGTACTGGGAATCAAACTCAGGACCTCACTCTGAGAAGCAAGGATTTAGAAGTTACATTTGCAATGCTTTGTGGGCTGCGACTGATTCCCTTCTGATCCCGCGGGGCTGATCTGAAGGACCAGGGCCAAGGGCGGGATTCTGAGGAGCTGTGTCTCTTGGAAAGCTGACTGATGGAGGGAGGAGGGCAGGAGCTGGGATGAGCTAGAGCAGGGAGTCCTGATGCTGGGGAGTCATCCATCAGCTACTGGCAACCAGCAAGCCCTTCTTAGTCTCGGTTTAGAGATGAGAGAAGCTGGAAAGTGGCCATGGCAAATTATTAAACGGTTTGAGAACAGTCTTCAGGAAAGGATAAGAAGGGTGTTGATATTATTTGAACCAGAAAGAAACCCAGGGGAAACCGTAACACTGCGTGTACGTGCGTTCCCTCACCAGTGCTTTTCACTGGGCCGTGAGATGAGCAGACACTATCAGACTACATGTTTAAAAGTCAGGGAAGTACTATTTCGTGAAGCCTTTCCATTTTGTTGTTCTGGAGTGTTGCACGGGATTGCAGTGTGAACTACTGGCCACAGTAAGTCTAAAGTTTTGCAAAGTACTGTAGGAGTCGGGCTAGACTATCCGGCATCTCTAATGAGGGCTTGCTTGTGTTCAACAAACAAACACGCTCAACATCTATTATGTCCCTGAGCTCTGCTGTGTATAGCTTCCTGCCCTTCTGGGAAAATGGAATCTAATGGGGAAAGCAGAACAATTATACAGGAAAGGACATGAGTGAGATTCCCTATCTAAAACTTGAGACAGACATAGAACATGATGTGACGTAAGACATAAAAACCAGCCAAGTGGAATAGGGTGAAGGGAGGCACCATACAGAGACAGCAAGTAGCACAGGCCTTCCTGAAAGCGAAGGAGGACGAAGGCTGTAATTAGAAAGGTATGGGAATATAAAAACCATGGTGGTTGGGGCTGGAGGGATGGCTCAGTGGAATAAGCACTTGCCTGGCAAGTGCAAGGGTCTGAGTTCAATCCCCGGTTCCACCAAAAAAAAAACATGATGGTAAAGAGGGTACTTCACACTGTATGGGGTTTTTTTTGCTTGTTTGTTTGTTTGTTTTAATGTATTTAGTACAGGGTCTTACTACACAGATCAGACTTATAGTGATCCTCCTGTTTTCAGCCTCCCAAGCACTGGGATTACAGGCGCACACCACCATGCGGTCTCATTTGCTGTTTTAGCGCACCCTGGGAGCGGAACCAGCACAGCAGGCAAGGAATCGAACCCCGGTCCTTGTGTCTGCTTAAGCAGGCACTTTAATCTGCTGAGCTATCTGGCCAGTCTTCTGTATGCTTTTTTAAAAAGCCTTGGGCCTGGGAGATGGCTCAGTAGAATAAGCACTTGCCTGGCAAGCACAAGGGTCTGAGTTCAATTCCTGGTTCTGAAAAATAAAATAAAAATAAAAAGCCTTTCCATACCTAGTCTTTTGGATCTTTGCACATCCAACCATGCCCTTTTGGCTAGCTAACATCCATTTCTAACCTTCCTATAGCCTGCCTTGTCCTGCTCCAGCCACTCCTGGCCTTTAAAATGTAAATCTCATGTCACACTGCAGCCTAAAAACCCAGATGTTCCTGAATGGCCCTCCTGCTTATACTCTGACATCCAGCTGCTTTTAGAGATTGGAATGACTGCCCCTTGCCAAGAATCCTGTCTCTTCTCTTGTAGCCCAGCCCTTGCTAGGTTACAGGTCTGCCTAGGTGCATACCTGTAACCGCAGTACTCAGGAGGCTGAGACAGGAGGATTAATTCCAGTTCAAGCCCAGCCTGGGCCAGCCGGGGCTATGTAAGTGAGTTCAAGGCCAGCCTGCACTACATAGCAAAACGGTGTCTCAAAGGAAAACAAAACAAATGGCCAGAACAGTAGAATGCACGTTGTCAGTTTATAGATACAGGGTCTCCAGGAAAAGGAAAGGTTAGGGGCCGGGGAGATGGCTCAGTGGAATAAGCACTTCCCTGGAAAGCACAAGGGCCTGAGTTCAATCCCTAGCTCCACAAAAAAAAAAAAGGAAAGGTTGGCCTGTTCAAAACAGGATAAATTCTTTGGATTTTTATTTTTCTCTTTCCTTTTATCACCCAGTGGAAGGGGATCTGCAGCACTTTCCCTCCTTGCCTTGTCACACACACGACCCTCAGGCCCAGGAAGGGAGGGTGAGTGATGGGTGTGACAGGTTCCTCCCTACCCCTGTCACAGTAGCGTTGGGCCACTGTAGAATAAGCCTGGATTCTGGAACCAGTCCCCTCGCATCCAGGTTCTGCCTCCCAGGGATAGATGACTTCACCTCTTCCCCCCACGTGAGGTTTTTTGTTTTTTTTCCTTTTGAGACAGGGTCTTACAATGCAATTCAGGCTGGCTTTGAGCTTACTTTGTAGCCCAGGTTGGTCTCGACCTCAGCAATCCACCTGCCTCAGCCTCCTGAGTGCTGGGATTACAGGCATGCACACGTCGGGGGTTGGTGAATGTTTTTAATCCAGTGAGGGTAAGGGCATCTCTGGGATCAGCAGGGTCACAGGCAGCAGACCCCTGGCTGTGCCGCTGCTGGGGTCTTGACTGCCTCTCTTGGCACCTGAGTAAGCTCACTGCCAGGTCAGAGCAGGAGCCACCAGGGGCGCTGGTCACCTTGGAGCCTCACCAAGGACCCCATGTGGCCAGAAGTGCCTCTAGCCCTGGCTTGCACTGATTGTGAAAGACCAAGGCCAGCAGAACTGCCCTCCGGGCTTGGGGCTGAGGGGCAGAACCAGGCTTGCCTGCTTTGGTGGGGGGGGCACTTTGAAGGCCTGGCTCCCGCTCAGCCTTCACATTCCTCAGAGCCTGCCTGTGTGCCTTTGCCTCAGGAGCTGAGGTTGCTTCAGAGCAATCTTTGTGGATGGCAGGATCGTGCTCCTAGTTCCCTGGGAGGGCAAGGCCTGAAGATTACAGATTCAAACCCAACTGGGCCATTGAGCTGAAAAGGAGACCGGAGTCTCAGAATTACAAATAAGCTGGGCATGGTGGCACACACCTGGCCTGTAATGCCAGCGGTTGGGAGGCCAAGGCAGGAGGGTCACTGGATGAATTCAAAGCCAGCCTGAACTACATAGCAAGACTTGTTTTGAGGGATTGAACTCGGGACCTTGCACTTGCCAGGCAGGCGCTCATTCTACTCAGCTATCTCCCTGGCCCCATAGCAAGACTTTGTCTCAAGAAGAAGAGAACAGGGTGCTCGCTTCGGCAGCACATATACTAAAATTGGAACGATACAGAGAAGATTAGCATGGCCCTGCGCAAGGATGACACGCAAATTCGTGAAGCGTTCCATATTAAAAAAAAAATAAATAAAGCACTAACCAGTCAAAAAAAAAAAAAAGAAGAAGAAGAAGAAGAAGAAGAGAACAGGGTGGGGGAGATAGCTCCTCAGTCTAAGTTCAAGTGGGTTGGACCCCAGTATCACATGCCATACTGGCCCTGGAGCCCCCAGCACACTGTGTCAGCCCCAAAGCTTGGCATTGTGGTGCACCCCTATAATCCCAGCACTGGGAAGGCTGAAACAGGAGGATCACGATAAGTTTGAGCTGCGTAGGAGGCCCTGTACCAATAAATAAGTAAATAAGTAAATAAAAGATTTTTTAAAATTACATAAAAAGAACAGCCCTAAGGAAACTAGGACCAAAGGCTTGAAGGAAGATGAAATGCCTTATTGGTCAGGGGAAGGACAGCCGAACCTCACCTATTGTCCCTTCTCTCCTGACAGGTCCCCAGATAGCCATCCCAGCTCCTGCCTGCTCAGGGCTGTGGCCCAGCTGCGGTCACAGCTGCAGACCCACCTCCGTCGTGCCCCACCAACTGCAGCCCGCAGCCAGGGCCCCAGTGCCTGGTGCTGGGTGGGGGCAGCCCTGGTGGGCCCTGTGGTGCTATGCAAGCAGCCCCGCCTCTACCTGGTAGCCCTGTGTGAGGCACAGGAGGCCCCTCCAGCCCGCCCTGTGCCCCACGCTGCGCAGTCCCAATTCAACTGGAAGCTCTTCTGGCAGTTCCTGCGCCCCCATCTGCTGCTCCTGGGGGCTGCCATTGTGGTGAGGCTCTCCCCACCCCTCCCTCTGGGAACAGCTGGCTGCATAGGGCTCAGGGCAGCTGGAAGCCTGGGTTTTAAGTCTCTTCTACACACGTGGGTGTAGATGAGTAGCTACACCTGTGGCCACTCCTGAGCTTGCTCAGTTGTAGAAGGGGACAAGTATGGCTGCCCTTTTCCAAACATCTGTCCCCACTGTCCTGACCTGTCACAGCTGGCACTAGGTGCAGCCCTGGTGAATGTGCAGATCCCTCTGGCCCTGGGTGAGCTGGTCGAAGTTGTGGCCAAGTACACAAGGGACCACGTGGGGAGCTTCGTGTCCGAGTCCCGGAACCTCGGCACCCACCTGCTTCTCCTATATGGCATCCAGGTACAGCAGGGTGGGAGCCCTGGGCACTGAGGAATCTTCCCAGGGGGCATTGCTGAGTGCCCTGGCCTCTCCCGCAGGGACTGCTGACCTTTGGGTACCTAGTGCTGCTGTCCCACATCGGCGAGCGCATGGCCGTAGACATGCGCAGGGCCCTCTTCAGCGCCCTGCTCCGGTACTGCCCGGGGCAGGGTGTTGGCAGGGGTGACTGGTAGCCCGGGAGGGCCCAGGAGCTACTGGATCCTGAAATCTCATCTCCTGTCCCCTGCCTGCTGCCATCCTCATGTTCCACCGCCAGACAAGACATTGCTTTCTTTGATGCCAAGAGGACAGGGCAGCTTGTGAGCCGCCTGACCACTGATGTGCAGGAGTTTAAGTCATCCTTCAAGCTTGTCATCTCCCAGGTTAGTGCTCTGGCACACCCTTACATGTCCCCCTCGCCCACGGGAACACACCAGGCCAACCGCCGAGACACCTTGTTGTCTGTAGAGGAGACATGTGAGGAGACATGGCCATCCAGTCCGTGGGGAAAGAGGGCCAAGGCCAAGCCAGGCTGCCTCTCAGATGTGGGACGCCTCCCTGGGGCACGGACTTGAGCCTCTCCCAGCAGGAGCAATCTCTCAGTGCTTGCCCTGTCCCCAGAGTGCTGATCACTGGCCAGCCCTGGGCTTGAGCACACTGACACCCTCCTCAGACCCACCCCACCGCCATGTCATGCTGGACACTGGCTCCGGGCAGCCCATGAGTGTCATCCCCACGTGTGGTTCTTGGTTCTGATCTAAATTGGAAAGTGAAAGCCAGGCATAGTGGCGCATACTTGTAATCCTAGCACTCGGGAGGCTGAGACAGGAGGATCACTGTGAGTTCAAGGCCAGCCTGCACTACACAGTGAGATCTAGCCTCAAAAAAAAAGGGGGGGGGGGAGAAAGAGAAACTAGTGGGCTTTGTGGCCCCAGAGTCACAGAGGGTCCAGGCTCTGTGACCAGGGCCTGCTGCTTGACTTCCCTGAGGTGGGGTCTTGCTGCAGCACTGGCCATAGAGGCCTCCTGTCTTCCTCCCCTGCCCAGGGGCTGCGGAGCTGCACCCAGGTGGCTGGCTGCCTGGTGTCCCTGTCCTTGCTGTCCCCACGCCTCACGCTGCTGCTGCTGATCACCACACCCGCCCTGATGGGCGTTGGCACCCTCATGGGCTCTGGTCTCCGAAAATTGTCCCGCCTGTGTCAGGAGCAGGTATGGGGTACCAGGCCACCCGCCTCATCTTTCAAGCCTGCTGTCCCCATCAGTCCCCCCAGTGGCAACCCAGCTTCTGGGTTCTTGGACTCCACATAGGTTGCCAGAGCAACAGGCATAGCGGATGAGGCCCTGGGCAACGTCCGGACGGTGCGCGCCTTCGCCATGGAGCAGCGGGAAGAGGAGTAAGTGCCGGGAGGCCGCAGTGCAGGGTGACGTAGCTCCCACACCCTGCCCACCTTGTCTGAGCTCTGGCCCGGGCTCTCCCCAGGCGCTACGGAGCAGAGCTGGAGCGGTGCCGTGCAAAAGCGGAGGAGTTGGGCAGGGGCATTGCCTTGTTCCAGGGCCTTTCCAACATCGCCTTCAACTGTGAGTGAGCCCCCCAGTCCTGCTGGGGAGAGGACCCAGGGCTGCAGCAGGCAGGGCCAGAGCAGCAGGGGCAGAGCCACCTGCCCCCGTCCTCGAGGGTGAGCACGTGCCGGAGGGAAGGGCAGTGGGCAGGATTGGCTGCGGGAAACCTCGGAGGCGGGCGAGTCAGCCCTGCCCCTCCTCCGCAGATGACCACTCTAGCTTTTCTCCACAGGGGACACGTGGGCAGGGCTTACCCTGCCCCTGACCTCTCTCCCTCCCCCACAGGCATGGTTCTGGGCACCCTTTTTGTTGGGGGCTCCCTGGTAGCTGGACAGCAGCTGACGGGGGGAGACCTCATGTCCTTCCTGGTGGCCTCGCAGACAGTACAGAGGTGAGTGGAGGTTGCTCCCATCCCTGCAGAATGCCCTGCAGCCCTCCAGAGCCCTGCCTGGTCAGGACTGGGTTGCCTGCGTGCTCCAGGGGTACTGCCCGCCCCCCAGCAAGGTTCCCAGGTGCCTTCACTGGCTCTCCGTTTAACATGCAGTTGTAGTTGTCATCTTGGCCTTCCACATAGCACAGGTGTCTTGACGGAACTTTTGAAAATGTATTTATTTGTTTGGTTGGTTTTGGTATTTTAAGACCAGGTCTCAGTATGTAGTCCAGGCTGGCCTTGACTTAAAGAGCACCCTCCTGCCTCAGCCTCCTGAGGCATGCACCACCACACCCAGCTTAAGATTTTTAAATTAAGTCCACTTGGGGATACTGTCACCCTCCTGACAATTTTAAGCGCCCGGGTCAGTCATGTTGAGCAGTTGCGCAGTGTCACACAGGCAGCAGCAGCACGCAGCTCCCTCACAGGTGAGCCTGCACTCTGAACACTGACCGGTCCTCCTCCGAGCCCGGCCCACCTGGCTGCTCAGTCTGTCAGGCTCTGGCTCTGTGTGCCCTGGGGACACAGCAGTGCAGCCACGCCGCACTGGTTCTTTGTGGGCTCGGGACCTCGCCAAGGCTGTCCGTCCTCTGAAGCGGAGCAGCGTTCTCCGTGTGTGGCAGCTCTTTACAGACTGCCCCTGTCCTCGGGCTGGCCATTTCCTGGCATGGGAAGTGGCCAGGGCTCCTCCCCTGCTAGCCCCACTCACACCGTGTCGCACTCTGCCCTTCCCCGCACTTGGTGAGGCTAAGAAGATACGTCAGTACACCCCAGGAGAAATAATTAAAGAGTGAATGTCCTATAATAAACGATGAGAGCGTGAAGGTCTGTGTTACCGACAGCAAGTAAACATCACCTTTGGTGGTCCCTGTTTGGGGCCCTGCCCTCATTAGTCCTCACCCCTCCTCCAGAGGTGACACTTGTGATTCCGGTGGTGCCCATCCCTGCCCAGAGTCCTATCTTGCCACTGCTGTATGTCTGTGGTATTCTGGGATTGTTTTGAGACAGAATCTCAACTACGTAGCACAGGCTGACTTTGAACTATGGAGCCCAGGCTGGCCTTGACCTTGCAGCGATCCTCCTGCCTCAGCCTCCCCAGTGCTAGGATGACAGGTGTGTGCCACCACGTCTGGCTTGTGGTTTTTATAGAATTGTGCAGCCCTTCTAAGCCAGCGCCGCACACTGCAAAGTCCCTTGCCCCCATCTGCGGCTGCGTAGGCCCCGCCTCAGCCCTATTTCTGTCACAGGTCCCAAGCCCTGCACGCTTGGGCTCTCCCCGCTGCAGCCTGGGGCCTGTCCCCGGGTGCGTCAGGATCCAGATCCTCTGATTGCAGGAGGGTAGGGCCAGGGGTTCCCACACTGCCCACAAACTTTGGTGCTCCTGCCCCGAGGACTGACCTGCCCGGTCTCGCTCAGCCTCTCCAAGCAGGAAACCTGCCACCCCTCACAATCAGCTGGGCCTGCTCCCTGGGCCTGTCCCCCCTTGGGCCCAGCACAGCCTTGCTACCTCCCTGCTGCGCCACTCAGCTGCATGGCAGGATTGGGTTCCAGCTGCCCCCATCACCTGCAGAGATGAGTTCTTGTGTTCTGGAAGCTCCTGTTTGCTTCTGGTCTCACTGTGCAGTGAGGGGCACAGCTCTTAGTCCAGGGGGACGTTGGCACAGCAGGGCAGCCCCAGCCTTTAGGCCCACCCAGGTGACCTTTATGGCAGTGCTGGGGCCAGGCCCCACCTGGGCAGGACACAGCTGGCATCCTGCAGTGTCTCCGTAAGCAAAGTCACCCCACAGCAGTGAGTCACGCGCGGCTTAGGTTTCTTAGGTGGTGGCCTCTTTGCCAGGGCCTAATGGCTTCCAGATCTTGGCAGAGCCATCCCCTCCTCCCATGCAGATAACTCTGGGCCCTTCCCACCCTGTCCCCCTACTCCGCCCAAGTGCAAGTGCAGATTGCTCCCCACACGGTGGCACTTTCTGTGAGCTCTGGGGTTGCTCCCCTCCCCCATGCTGGAAGAAGTGAGTCCCTCGGCCCTCGAGTCCCAGGGGAGTCAGCCTTTCCTCTTCCCGGAGTGGACCGTGTGTGCATCATGGTGCTGATACTGCCATGGGTCAGCGGGCTGGCCGGGGACCTATGAGTCGGTGGCCCTTGACCTCCCTAGCACAGCAGCTTTATCCCCAGTCCTGCTGGGACAGAGGAGGCGACCCACTGTCTAGACAGACACGCCTGTCTCCCACACAGGCACCCGCAGACCAGCCAGCAGAACACATTCAGTTGGAGTTTTGTTTTGGGGTCTCCCCAGAGTTCTCCCTGAAACTCTTATCTTGTCCTTCTCTCCCTCTCTCTCTCTCTCTCTCTCTGTCTCTCTCTCTCTCTCTCTCAAAGGATTTCAGTTTTGAGTTGTTCTTCCCCCGCCCCCGCCCCCGCCATCTTTTTTTGTTTTCTGCAACGTAGCCTCTCTGGTTTGTTGCTGCCCCCCCACCCCCAAGTCTAGCAGCAGGTCTCACTTCTGATGGCCCATGCCACCTTGAGGTCTTACCAGGAGCAGCTGTGCTGTTGCTGGCCCAGGGCAGGAGGTCATGGGTCACTGGGGTACCTCTTTCTGGGCTGATGTCACCCCTCAGGCTGTGAGCCACCTTCAGCCCCCATGCGTGGGTCAGGATCACCCCTGGACCCCTTCCTGTGCCCTCAGGCCTGCATCCTATGGCCCCTGCCTCCTGGATCCCGGGATGAGTTGGGGCCTCACTTCACACAGCCCAGGAGGGGACCAAGGCTTGGAGGATGAATCACCAGGCCCCAGTTTTCTGCAGGCCCAGGTCTTTTGAGCCTTCTCCACCCTTGGCCTCAAGTCCTTCACACCCGTCCTCCCCAGTTCTTGCCACCCCAAGAAAGTTACTAACAACCCTTTCTGCTCCTCACAGGTCCATGGCCAACCTCTCTGTCCTGTTTGGTCAGGTGAGTAGGGGTGTCCTGAGCTGGGGCTGGTCCTGTGTGCTGCCCAGGCACAGCCTCTGTCTATGTGTGGGGTTCTGGAGCCCCCCAGTTGCAGCCTCAATGCACAGAGATGCCCCATCCGACCTTATACAGACTTGGACTTCCCCTGCAGGTGGTGCGGGGCCTCAGTGCAGGTGCCCGTGTCTTTGAGTACATGGCCCTGAGTCCCTGCATCCCACTATCGGGGGGCCACAGCATCCCCAAGGAGCAGCTGCGAGGCTGTGTCACGTTCCAGGACATCAGCTTCAGGTGGGCATTGAACAGCGGGGTGAGAGGGCTGGGGAGATGGCTCAGTAGAATAAATACTTCCCTGGCAAGCCAAGGGTCTGAGTTCAATCCCCGGTTCTGCCCCCCCAAAAAAATAATAAATGAACAGCAGGGTGGTACTAGATGGGCGCAAACCCACGGTCCAGCCATATATCCCCTTAACTGGCCCAGTTGGAGGAGCACAGGAAGATCAGGAGGGCACAGAGGGCACGGGGCCACAAGGCCAGAAACCTGCTCTGACCAGGGCTTCCTGGACCCCCAGCTACCCCTGCCGCCCCGGCTTCCAGGTGCTGAAGGACTTCACTCTGACGCTGCCCCCTGGCAAGATCGTGGCCCTTGTGGGCCAGTCCGGGGGAGGTAAGGGAATCCCCAACCCCCCCCACCCCCCACTCCTCTGGAAGCCACCAGAGCCGGGCAGGGAGCACTGGCCCCCTACCCTTCACTGAGCTGTGCCCCTCATTGCCATACGGGTCCCTTTTCCTGGGACAGTGTATGAACTCTACCTCCTTCCTCCCCAAACACCACTATCCCAGGAAAGACCACAGTGGCTTCCTTGCTAGAGCGCTTCTACGACCCCACGGCTGGTGTGGTGACGCTGGACGGGCACAATCTGCGCACACTTGACCCCTCCTGGCTCCGGGGCCAGGTTGTCGGCTTCATCAGCCAGGTGTGACCTGAGGCTGGCATGGCCCCAGTGGCATGGCTGGGCTCTGGCCTCACCCTCCTCCACCCCTGACCTCTTTCCAAGCTCCCCGGGAAGCTCGGGCCTCCTCCATACTTCCTGGGCAGCCTCTTGCCAGAGACACCCCTGTCCTAGCTGGTGCCACTGCCCCCTCGCTAAGCCGTGATGGCCAGCCTCGCTGTGCAGGCTGGGAAACGGAGCAGCGCCCTCAGCCTTCTGCAGGGGGAAGCCTCCCGCATGTGGGAGAAGCATGGCTGTTTTGAGACAAGGACTCACTGTGGAGTCCAGGATGGCCTTGAACTCACTGTGGAGCCCAGGCTGGCCTCAGACTCAAGATGATCCCCCCCTGACTCAGGCTTCTAGTGCTGGAATGACAGGCATGTGCCACTCCGCCCCGGACTTGATTGACCTTTGACTTTGAACTTCAGACTACCTAAAATCCCTTGGCAGGGATCCAGTCAAAACAGTCTCCTAAATGGGACTGGTGGCGCGTGCCTATAATCCTAGCACTCAGGCGGCTGAAGCAGAATTGTTTGGAATTCCAGGCCAGCCTGAGCTATACAGTGAATTCAAGGCCAGCTTGAACTGCATAGCAAGACCCTGTCTCAAAAAACAAAAGTAGGGGCCAGGGAGATGGCTCAGTGGAATAAGTGCTTCCCTGTAAAGCATAAGGGCCTGAGTTCAATGCCTGGTTCCACAAAAAAACAAAACAAAAATCAAAAAACAAAAGTAAAAGTCTCCTGGTGCAGGTGGCACTCAGGGATGGAGTCGGAGTGTTGCCTGTGGACCCTTTCTGTGTCCTCCCCCAGGAGCCAGTTCTGTTTGGAACAACCATCATGGAGAACATCCGCTTCGGGAAACTGGAAGCTTCGGATGAGGAAGTGTATGCAGCTGCAAAGGAGGCCAATGCCCATGAGTTCATCTGCAGCTTCCCCGATGGCTACAACACCATCGTCGGTGCGTGCCAGTCACAGGCCCCAGGGTGGCATGGCACAGAAGAGACGGTGTCCCCTGTGAGCATTGAGGACACTGTGGGACTGAGGCCAGGAGGGATGGCAGGGAAGAGAGACGAGGACCATGGGAGGGGACATAGGCAAGGCCCAGGATGCTCAGCCCAGATAGGCAGACCCCATAGGCTGCAGACACAGGCAGGACTTCAGTGATGGGGGAGGCGGAGGAAGTAACAGGCGGTGAGGTGGCAGGACTCTGGCTACAGACAGGAGGATTCACTGCTCTGGAACCTTCTCAGAGCCTGCCAGGCCTGAGAAGGAAGGAGAATCTCTCCCCATAACTTTCTCCGCTTCTGACTCCCAACTTGAGGGTCTCATTTTTTTTTTTTTTTTTTTTTTTTTTTTTTTTTTCTTTTTTTTTTTGAGGAGTCCAATGTCACGGAGGACGGCAGGGACACGCAGTGGCCCTGTGAGCACACACACTGCAGCCTGCAGCTTGCGTGTTTGTCCAGAGCATTCTTGTCTTGATCTCTGGCCGTATTTAGCATGTGTCTGGGCTATGTTCATGGCTTCCAGCTTTGCCTCTTAGGACAGGAACATCAGAGTCCTCAGCCCTTCCCAAGCGGCTCAGGTGCCAGCCTTCCAGGCCATGGCCCATCTTCTGCAGAGGAGGTCCTGCTGCCTCTGTGGGGTGGGCCTTCCTTGTCCCTCAGATCCTAATGCGACTTCTGTGCCGCCCCCCAGCAGTGACCTGTAACCTGCAGCCATCTTGCTGGTCCTTGAGGTCCTTGAGGTCTCCTGGGCTATCACTTCTGCTGTCCTCCAGGCTTGGAGTCCCACCGCCTAGAATCTCCTTACTAGGAGCCACATTTGGCCACAGCAGCACACCTGTCCCCAAGGCCCTACAGGGGAGGCATGTTTCTCTTCACAATCTGTGTCCACTCATCTGCACAGGGTGGTGAGACTGGGGAGCTGACAACTGTCACTCTTACCTGTCAGAGAGGCAAGTCAACCATGGGGGCCCTCAGAGGCAGCGGAGCGGGCGCACTCCAGCTAGAAGGACCTGGCGCCCTGCTGCAGGCCACCCCAAATGCGGGGCTGAGGATGCTTCAGCCTCACCACCCTCTCCCTCCCCAGGTGAGCGAGGCACAACTCTGTCTGGTGGCCAGAAGCAGCGCCTGGCCATCGCCCGGGCACTCATCAAGCGGCCCACAGTGCTGATTCTAGACGAGGCCACCAGTGCCCTGGACGCGGAGTCTGAGCGGGTGGTGCAGGAGGCACTGGACCGGGCCAGCGCTGGCCGCACGGTGCTGGTCATTGCACACCGGCTCAGCACTGTGCGCGCAGCCCACTGCATCGTTGTCATGGCCAATGGCCGGGTCTGTGAGGTGCGTCCGGGCCTGAGTGTGGGGTGGCACATTAGGGACGGCTGCACCCTCACTGAGGGACAGGCAGTGCAGCCATGGCTGTGAGCCTCTGCCTGGACCCAGCCCTTCTTCAGACGAGCACAGCTGTATCAAAGGCTCCTGGGAGCCAAGGGTAATGTGGATAGCTCTGGGGACAGGGCAGCCACCTGGCGATTGAGGTGTAGAGAGGCCGCAGCAGGGCCCCGGAGAGGCCAGCCAGGAGTAGCTCTGGGGCAGCATGTGGGCCCTGGACGCACAAGCTTCCAGTGTTCTTCCAACTTCCTGAGTAGGGAAAGAAGTGGGACTGAGGGAGTGCATCACTGTGCCCAAGGGACTTCCTTTCGCAGGGTCACTGCAAGGGATGCCAGCTCATGTGATCCTGAGCGCGGGGCCCTCTCCCCAGGCTCTGCATGGGCACTTCGGGATGACCCTCAGGCCCTCCCCACATTTGCAGGCTGGGACCCACGAAGAGCTCCTGAGGAAAGGTGGGCTGTACGCCGAGCTCATCCGCAGACAGGCCCTGGATGCCCCGCTGCCATCGGCCATGCCTCTGGAGACCCTAAGAGACCCCCAGAACCACTGGCACAAGACCTGAGAGAGACTCCAGGGTCTGGTCGCTGCCTCCTACCAGGGCGAGGGCCGAGTCCCTGGAGGGCCACCATGGGCTGCTGCTCCCCCCACACACACACAATAAAGCTGGACTGTGGCTGGCTCGGAGTTGGGCTCTCTTCCGCCACTCTGCCCCTGCCGCCCCCTTCCTACCCTCACACCAGGGTTGTTGGGCTGACCACAGGTCAGCTACACCGAATGAAGTTGCCTGGTCCCAGTTCCTTGGGATATTGAATGCCAGGGCCCTTCCCCCAGCCAGGGGCTTGCTTGCCTCACCCGCCTGAGGACTGTTACCCAAGCGCTCCTGGCCCCAGCCCACAGCCTCTGCCTTCATTGTCCCAACCCCATGACCTCAGACCCCACAGTCCTGATCCCCACCAGCCACCCTGCAAGGACCCACACCTGCCAGGGCCATGCCTGGTCAGGGTAGGATGCAGGACGAGTGGTCCTTTCCTGTAGGAAATGCCTGCCTGCTTCACTGGGAACCACTGCCCTCTGTGCCTTGAATCTGACCCCTGAGACTGAAGCCAGCTTCCCACCCCACTGAAGGAGGCTGAAAGAGACCAGGTGTGGCCCAGCCAAGGAGCCTGTTGCCCCAGGGTGAATGGGGCAGGCCTGGCTTCCCCTAGGAGCATCTGGAGCCAGGCACACTGGAAGGGCCCTTGGACTGAGCCTGTGCTGAGGGTGGAGCCAAGAGGCCCTCATGTCCCTGCGCTGCTGCAGCTGCACCTGCCCTCCTCACACATCTCCCCAGCAGGGCTGGTAGCTCCCTGCCTTGACACTGGCCACATCATTTCCCACTAGAACCCTCCTCTGTGCTGCTGTGTCCAAGCAGTGGCACTCATGGGGCTGCTCTGCAGGGCAGGAAGACGGGGTCCCTGTGCTGCACCTGCACTGCCTGCCAGGCATTTAGGGTCTTCCTGTGGCAAAAGAGTGGCTCCATCTTCCATGTGGCAGTGGCAGTGGGACCGACAGAGCAGAGGCTGCTGCTGGGAGGCCATCTGGAGGAGGCGCCTGCAGCTTGGACCATGGCTTAGGACCAGGTGCTGCTATGGGGACGCACCACACGTGCCCCACAGCCAGCTGCCTGGTGACCTCAGCCTGCCACCCGCACCTGCTCCGTAGAGATCAGCAGCCAGGCTATGCTTGGATTTGAAGCCTCCTCAAGGGTTAACTGGGAGTTGAACCTATAATCCCGGGACTCAGGAAGCTGAGGCAAGGGAATCAGTGATGAGGCCGAGGAGATGGCTCAGTGGAATATGCAATTCCCTGGCAAGCCCAAGTGTCCAAGTTCAATCCCCGGTTCCACCAAAAAAAAAAAATCAGTGAATTCAAGGCCAGCCTGAACTACATACTGAGACCCTGTCTCTTTCGCTATTAAAAAAAAAAAGGATGACCTGTGATCATGACTGAATTTCATTTTATTTTAGGGAAGGGTCTACAGAGTATTCACGGTCTCACTACTAGATCAGACTAATAGTAATCTGCCTATTTACAGCCTCTCAAGAGCTGAGATTACAGGCTCATGCCACCATACTCAGTCTCAGTTGTCTTCTCAGCAGGCCCAGGGATCAAACCCCCGACCCCTTCGCCTGCTTGCCAGTGCTTTAATCCACTGAGCTATTTGGCTGACCCTACAACTGATAGGGGCGGGGAAGATGACTCAGTAGGATAAGTGCTTGCCCAGCAAGCGCACGGACCTGAGTTCAATCCCCGGTTCCACAAAAAAAAAAAAAAAAAATCAGTATGAGCTGGCTGTGGTGTGTGCCTGTAATCCCTACACTTGGGCGGCTGAGGCAGGAGGATACATGTGAGTTCATGGGCAGCCTGAACCACATAGCAAGACACAAAAATCACTGTGGCAGACTCACGAAATGGTCACTGCTGTGCCACAAGCCACCATATTCATCCCTTCCCAATCATGCACCCATCCTGCGCTGCTGACAACAGCCCAGGATATCCCCACACGGCCTGGAAGTGTGACAGGAACAGCTGAGGCACAGCATGACCATGTTTTGTTGGAGGATGCCCCAACCACTCACAGCCAAAAGCCACTGAAATCAATCTGGCGGCCCCAAAAGTTTCAGACAAGATGAAATAAACTTGCGTAAGTCCACAAAGACACACCTGCTGTCTTTCTCAGGCCTGTGGGAAGTGTCAGCGTGCATTCCACCAGTACGGAGCTGACAGTGCAGTGGGGACCAGCCCCTGTCCCCATGCCTGTGCTTCCCAAGCCCCTGTGGCTCAGCTGGGCCACACCGTCCAGTTTGGCCCAGTGCCCTGTGCAGCTTCAGCCTAGCCAGCACTGGCCTTGCAGGCAGCGACTGCCGAGGTCACTGCTGCACCTGTGGGGAGCCCAACCCAGCTCCCTTTCACCCTGCTCAGATATCATGCTGGTTCAGCTTTCTGGGGGGCATGGCGGGCTTGGCACAGAGGCGCCCCATGCAGGAGCAGAGGCACTCCCTCTCGCATGCAGGTGGAAGCACAAAATGACAGCCCTGCTATGGGGGAGTGTGGTGACATCAGAGCAGCACTGCCGTGGCCTCTTGACCTGGCCATTGTATTTTTGGAAGTCTACGCCCATGCACTGGTATTGGTAGCAAGTGTTTGTGCTGAAAAGACTGGAAAGCCCCGCTGCTCTTCAGCAGGGCGAGTGGTCAAGTAAACCTCACACATCATGCCCTGGCACAGTATACAGCCACTTCTACCAGGGTTTCCCAAGTGTGGGGTATCACAGGGTCTCTGGGGTGTGTTCAGTAAGAAGAGGAAGGTGTGGAGTCGCAGGGCACCCCTGATACCTGGGGATCAGATCAGCTTCCTCAACAAGGTTCTGAGTGTGGGGAGGAGGTGGGGATCTGACTCCCACAAGGGGTGTCCCTGCCCGTGCAGTAGGACCTGGGATGCTGGGGGCACAGAGAGGAGAGATCTGCTGATGCCCAGTCTTCCCACCGCTCTGGCCTGGTCCAGAGCCAAGTCTACTCCACAAAAAGAGATGAGCGCAGGTGGGGCACTCAGAGCCAGACAGCAGAGGGAGGGGCTGGGCTGCCAGTCAGTAATTGACCCCAGGCCTGATACGCAGGGGCTACAACCTGGGTGCTGAGGTCTCAGAGACAACCCTAACCCCAACAGCACCCCAAACCCCACTTACCTCTGGGCTCCCTTCGAGCCCTCCCCAGGACCGCTGTGGTTTCCTCCTGGCGCCTATGGTCTCTGACAGCAGTGCTGCCCCACCCCACCCCCCACCCCCGTGCTAATGGCTCAGCCTGGGGCTCCAGGGACTTCCCCGCCCCCCAGACCATTCTGCTGGCCCCTGGGCCCCCCTCACTGCTGAAACCCAATCCTCTGCAGCAGCTCTACTCAGCGCCGCCCCACAGGCTGGGCTTGCCACCAGCGCCTGTACCCTACCTGGTCCCTGCTGCGGAGCCGAGGGCTGAGCCACCGCCTGCTTCTGGAGAAGGCCAAGCTGGACCCACGGGTCACCGCTTCCTGCCTCACCAGGCCAGTGCCTCCCCACCTCTCACCCTAGCTCTTCTCCCACCCGCTCCCCTGCCCACTTCACGTGCCAGGCCCTTGCCTGGGCACCTGAGTCCTGCCTGCCGACACCCAAGCTCCCTCTAAGCTGCAGGCCTCCTCTCCTCCCTCTTCCTCTCCAGCTGCAGCCATGAAGGGCATCTCAGGGCCACAGGAGGTTCAGAGGCCTGGTGCAGACATCCACGTGTTTGCTAGCAGCTGCACGCTGCATGGCCTGGGCCACGTCTTCCGTCCCGGTGGCCTTACCCCACGCCGTGGGCTGTGGGCCTTGGCTGTGCTCCTGTCGCTGGCAGCCTTCCTCTACCAGGTGGTGGAGCGGGTCCGCTACTATGGGGAGTTCCACCACGAGACTGTCCTGGACGAGCGTGAGAGCAACCGGCTCACCTTCCCTGCTGTCACCCTCTGCAACATCAACCCACTGCGCCGCTCCCGTCTCACACCCAACGACCTGCACTGGGCCGGCCCTGCGCTGCTGGGCCTGGACCCTGCCGAGCACGCCGCCTTCCTACGAGCCCTGGGCCGGCCGCCCGCGCCGCCCGGCTTCATGCCCAGCCCCACCTTCGACATGGCACAGCTCTATGCCCGTGCCGGCCACTCACTTGATGACATGCTGCTGGACTGCCACTACCGAGGAGAGCCTTGTGGGCCCGAGAACTTCACCATGGTGAGCTGCCTCCCACACATCCTGCCCAGGGACACACACACACACACACACACACACACACACATCCCACTCCCCCAACGTCAGGGAACTTTGACACCCTCTGCCCAACACCCTTTCCTTCCTGCAGGCCAACCTTCCTGCCCCATAGTACCATCCTGTCTCCTGTCTCCCAGCTGGGTGGCACTGTACAGGGCACAGCCACTGACCCCAGCTAGCTGCATGGACCCTGCTCCATGGAGGGCTTTTGGTGGTACCTCCACCCCGCAGGCCACAGACCTTCTTTCTGCCAGGGAAGAACTTGCTTTCCTCTTCCACTTCAGTGTCCTGCCAGCCTGAGAAGGCAGCTACCTCCTTCCTTTCCTTGTACCCCAGAAGTCACACCTGCCCTGTAGGCAGTGCCTGCGGCTGGTGGGGGTGCAGGGGGCGCAGTGGTGATTCAGAGAGGGCTCCACTACATTGTCTAGGGCTTGGGGCATCAACACAAGGGCTTCAGAATGCAACGTGAAGAGCCAGAAGGAGCCCAAGGGGAGGAGATGCCCCATGTGCTCCTGCTTGTCTGGGGAGAGGGCTGTCACTTCCTGCCCCCTTGCCAGATCTTCACCCGGATGGGACAGTGCTACACATTCAACTCTGGTGCTGGCGGGGCAGAGCCACTCACCACTTCCAAAGGTGGTGCTGGCAACGGCCTGGATATCTTGCTGGATGTGCAGCAAGAAGAGTATCTGCCAGTGTGGAAGCCCACGGGTAGGGGCACACACGTGGGGTGTGGCTGCCTCTGAGGAGGAGTGTGGGTATGGGTTGGATGTGGAGGAGGGGTCCACATGTGAAGCTAGAGGGTGGCAATGATTCGTGAAAGGCTAGGGCAAGGTGAGGAGGGAGGAGCTGCCCGGGACAGGCCCCAAGGCACACGCTCTCCACGAGCAGGAGGAAGGGTGGCTCTTCCAAGCCCCAGGCAGAGCGGGCTGCCAAGCAAGGGGCTCAGGCCTCAAAGGCCCCTCCCTGCAGATGACACCCCCTTTGAGGTGGGGATCCGAGTGCAGATCCACAGCCAGGAAGAGCCTCCGGTCATCGACCAGCTGGGCTTTGGGGCAGCCCCAGGGTACCAAACTTTTGTGTCCTGTCAGAAGCAGCAAGTATCCTCACTGTGCCTCCAACCTAGTCCCGCCTCCTCCCTCTTCCTTAACCCCATTCTACACCCCATGTCCCTCAGTCTGGCTCCAGACTCCAGCAACCTCTCACCCTGTCCCAGATCCTCCTTAACACACCCCTCCACAGCTGAGCTTCCTGCCGCCGCCCTGGGGCGACTGCAGTTCCACATCTATGGATCCCGACTTGGAGGAACCCTCTGATCTCCTGGATCCCCCCAGCCCCATTGCCAACCCCAGCCCTCCCTACAGCCTAATGGGATGTCGCATGGCCTGTGAGGCCCGCTATGTGGCTCGAAAGTGTGGGTGTAGGATGATGCATATGCCAGGTAAGGAGCTGTGGTCCGATCTTGGGGTAGGGGAAGCCCCCTTGGAGAGCATTCAGGAGCCTGCATCTGCCTCCTTGAACTCTAGGCAGCGCACCCGTGTGCAGCCCCCAGCAGTACAAGGACTGTGCGGACCCAGCCCTGGGTAAGGGGCAAGCCTCCCCCACTGAGCTCCATCCTCGACCTGGCCTTGCCAGGCTGGTGGCCCTGACCCAGGCCTCTGGGGCCTACAGATGCCGTGGTGCGGAAGGAAACGTGTGCCTGCCCCAATCCATGCGCCCTCACGCGCTACGCCAAGGAGCTCTCCATGGTGCGGCTTCCAAGCCGGGCTGCTGCCCGCTACCTGGCCCGGAAGTTCAACCGCAGCGAGGCCTACATCGTGTAAGCCATGCCAGCTGAGCAGGGCGGGTGGGGCCCAAAGGGGTCAGACCTAGGCCTCATCAGGGCGGGCTCAGGGACTCTGGAGCCTGGCAAACACTCAGACCCATTTTCCTACAGAGAGAATGTGCTTGCCCTTGACATCTTCTTTGAGGCCCTCAACTATGAGACAGTGGACCAGAAGAAGGCCTATGAGATGTCGGAGCTGCTCGGTGTGTGCAGAGGGCCCAGGGTCATGTGGGTGTGGCCCGGCAGGTGGCTGAGCTGACTGCTGACAGGCACTCTGCCTCCCCAGGCGACATCGGGGGCCAGATGGGGCTCTTCATTGGAGCCAGCCTGCTCACCATCCTAGAGATCCTAGACTTCCTCTGTGAGGTGGGCCGGGGGCCCTGGTTGGGGGAGGGGAGGAGCTGGCCCAGAGGGCCAGGGAAGGTGTGCCCTGGCCACCGCCCCTGCTGCTGGTCCCCAGGTGTTCCAGGACAGGGTGCTGGGGTACTTCTGGAACCGAAGGCGCTCCCAAAGGCACTCCCGCACCAATCTGGTAACAGCCCCTGTGCCTGCCCTGCCAGCTCTAGAGGGGCGCTAGGCCTCCACCCAGAGTGCAACTGACCCCCCCCCCCCCCCCCGCTTCCTTCTGCAGCTTCAGGAAGGCCTGGCTGGCCACAGGACCCACGTTCCTCACCTCAGCCACAGGTAACACAAAATGCCCCCCAAGAGGTAGGGCGCAGTAGTGAAGGCACCTGCAGAAGCCTCTGGTGTCTCCCCAGGCCTCCCATACCATCCTGCGCTGTCACCAAGACGCTCTCGGCCTCCCAGCGCACCTGCTACCTGGTCACCCGACTCTAGACCTGCAGTCCAGGGGCTCAGGGCCACACCCCCACCTCCCACACACTGGCCTGTGCCTCCGTGCTGTCTCCACCCCAAATAAAGCATGAATACATCCGTCTCGTGTGTTCCTGTCTCAGGGCGGAGAGCAGCCAGCCGGTGCTCAAGCCCTCCTCAGTTGAGAAGTACCTACCAGCCATCGCGAGCAGCATCAACGCTGGGGCACAGGGAGCCTTCACATGGATGGTAGGAAGAGGCGATCAGTCATTTATACTTCAGTGTGATTGAGTTTATGGGGATCTCAGAGAAGACGACCCTCTCCCCAGGGCCAGAGCTCAAGGGGAGGCAGAGTCTGGTCAGTGAGTGCTAAGTGCACTATCGGGGCACAGCTGAAAGGGGGCTCCCACCCAGAGCCCAGCAAGCAGGGGAGAAGGCGAGGGGCTCTTCCATTTCTGATTTTTTTTAATGTATCTGTTACAGGGTCTCACCACGCAGCTCGGACGCGTAGTGACCCTCCTGTTTTCACTCCCCATGCTGGGATTACAGGCATGTGCCACCACGTCTGGTCTGGCTCTTCCATTTCTAAGAACACAAACTAGGATCCTCCTTCAAGGCCATGATTCGTCTTCTTACATGTAGGACCAGGCGTGAAATGTGGCCTGTCTCCATGGGAACAGTCTTTTGTTTGAGACAGTCTTGCTATGTAGCCCAGGCTGGCCTCAAACTCTCAGCAGTCCTCCCGCCTCGGCCTCCAAATGCCACTGTTCCCAGCATTCCAGGAGAATAGTTCTTACATCCCCAACCTCCCCGCAAGAGTAAAAGGACCCAGCTTGAGAAGGGACCATGGAGTTCTCCTTTCCCCTCCTGCCAGGAAAGACACCCCAGGCCTTGGCCCCAGACCCCTTTCTCTTTTTCTCTATGCCTCGGCCACTGGAAAACTGGCAGAGGGGAACAGGGTTATTCCTGGTAGAACCAGATCCTTGGGTCTTTCTTGCAGGTTTTTGGGGACAGGGCAGAGATGCAGACAGCCACAAGGACAGGACAGCCCTTGTTGGTCCCTGATCAGAGGCCTATATTTGCTCCCAGAGGGTCAAATGCAGAAAGCGGTGGGGGCAACAAGGCCCTGTCCCCAGGAGGGCCCTGACTCCAGGAAGGGGGTCAAAGGTCAAGGCCTGCAGCCTCTGGACTCAGGTCTCTTACAGTCTGGGGGCAGGGTGTGGACAATTGGGGGTGCCTGAGCTGGAAGCAGGGCTGCAGAGGATGCTAAGTGGAACATAGCTCCCGGCCCCCTTCCTGGACACCCTACCACCTCAGACTGTGGGAAAGGAGCCAGTTTCTGGAATTAAATCAAGTCTATGGAGAGGAGCAATGACCTCTGACTAGGGCAGCTCCACCCTGGCTGGGCCCAGCGCAGTGGGACATCAGCAACCCCCCACCCGCCCTCCCCCTCCTCATGGAGCTTAAATAGGCCAGGCCCCAGCCTGGCAGCCAGGGCCTGGGGCCTAAGGGGGACAGAAGTCGGAGAAGTAGGGGTGCTGCAGGGCCTCCTCTGCTGAGACGCGCTGGACAGGGTTACACTTCAGGAGGTTCTGGAGAGGGAGAGGAAAGGCATCAGGCTCCCACTGGGTGGCTGCCACAGCCCTGCCTGCCCTCCCCCTTGTCCCTCTGGACACATCCTGGTGGCCTACCTGCAGCAAGTCCCTCCCTGTGGCATTGAGCTTGGGCACCACATTCACCAGGGACGTTGTGGCTGGGTACATTGGGTAGGGCTGCAGAGGGGCAGAGAGGTGGACCAGGGGTGTGAGACGCGCAGGCCCTGGTGTTGAAAATGCAGGGACCTTTCATGAGCCCTGACCCCTCTCGCAAATCACACCTTATAGTCCGGCAGCTTGGTCATGGCGGGCCACTGCTCCTCAGTTGGTGTCCCCAGCAGCGTGTCCACAGGGTCAAGGTCACTCGTGGGAAGGGCTCTGCACCTCCAGGGGTAGGGAGTGCTCTTCCCTCCAGGTGGGAGAGCTCCTCACACTGGCTCACCCCTGCCCCTCCCATTCTGCACCTGAGTTCATGACAAACACTCCCCTGTAGCTCCCATTCACCCCACTGCATGGCCAGCCATGTTAGCTGGGTCTAAATGTTAACTAGTAACAGGATGCCCGTGGTCCTAAGGGGTCATCTTCTCCTCCACCCTTCTGCTTGCTGTACCCTGGGACACTGCCTAGCTCAGAAGCACCCTCCTTGCCTATAGGATGTACCCTGAAGGGGTCAGCGTGCACCATAAAGGGGACAGCGAGCTCTGCTCCCCTCACCGCTGGAGAAGCCCTGGATCTCCCCTTGTTACTCTTGTCCCTGATTTTTTTTTTTTTTGTGGAACTGGGGATTGAACTCAGGTCCTTGTGCTTGCAGGGAAGCGCTTATTCCACTGAGCCATCTCCTTGGCCCCTGTCCCTGTTCTAAGATCCCTGTCCACTCCCCTTCTGCAGGGAGGACAAGAGTAGGAGGCAAGGGGAAGCGGAAGGATATCGGAAAATCCTCTTCAGCTGGTCATCCACATCGTTGCCAGGGAAAAGAGGCCGCCCAGCATTGGCCAGCTCTGGGGAAAGAGAGGACACTCAACTACAATAGGCGAAGGATTCTTCCCCCATGCATCTTTCATCCTCAGTCCAAGCATCCTGCTCCCTCTCCCCACAGCAAACCCTCCAGATGCTGTATGTCAACCATGAAAGACATGAAGGTGTTACCACAAAGCCCCAGGATATCACCTGCGAAAATGCAGCCGGCTGACCACATGTCAATGGACGTGGAGTACAGCTTGGCCCCGAAGAGGACATCCGGTGGACGGTACCACAGTGTGACCACCTGGAGAAAGCCCCACCCACAAGGATCTCCACTTAGCGGGCTGGAGAGGGTTGCAGGAGGCAGCACAGACAGAAAATGGAAACAGCCCTGGAGGTGCTGGATGGTCACTGGGCACTCCTTCCTCAACGCCCATATCCCTTCCCCCAGCTCACCTCGGCTGAGTAGCAGCGAACCGGGATTCCAAAAGCTCGTGCCAAGCCGAAGTCAGCCAATTTCAACTCCCCATTCTGAGGGAAGAGAACGGGGGCCATGAGGGAGCAGGCTCCAGCTCCCCTCACCCTGGCCCATTCCCCAGTGTTCCCCAACCCGATTCCAGCCTCTCCACTCTCGGCTTTCTCCAGAGCAGTACCCTGTTTATGAGTAGGTTCTGGGGCTTCAGGTCCCTGTGCAGCACGTTGCGACTGTGACAAAATCCCAGGCCTTTCAGCAGCTGGAAGAGGAATGACTGGGAGAGCGGGTCAGAGACGCTGGGTGTGAGGCTGTGCCAAGCAGGAGCTTCTTTCCTGCTGTACCCTCTGCCATGCTGTGTGGCCCACTGTACTCAGAGCACTGAGCACAGAGGATCCCACCTGTTAACCTTCCAGGACCTTCAGAGGTCCAGCAGTAAATCAGCCGACTCTGGCTCCTGCCATTCAGGAGCTTACAGTCTGGTGGGGCTCCTGGCCTTCCTGGCTCAGCTGACTGCCCCTGCCTGGCCACACCTGAGCACACATGCCGTGACCATCAACACAAACCTAGTACAGCACTACAGTATTACTGAGAACCTGATTCTCCCGGACCCTGGACCGAGCCGCTTGGTCTTAGGGCTAGACCAGTGCCTGGGGCACAACAAAGCATTTAGTGAGAACTTCTGGAACAAGTGGAACTATCTCTGCAAGCTTTCTTTTCACATCTTTCAAATGCAAACATCACTGAGATCAAAGCCTTACTGTCCAAGTCAAAAAAGACCATATTAAAATGCCGGTCTTGCTCCAGCAGAACAGCAGCAGGGTCTGCTCATTCTCTGAGCCCTCCAGGCCCAAATCTGTACTGAAGAAGCAGTCACACTGAACTCAAATCCACCCAGCCTCATGCATTCCCAGGACAACCCTCCCCTAACCTTCACAATTTCAGGATCGAGGTCACCATTGCAGCTGTCAAAATATTTTTTCAGGTCCTGAAAAGGGATGGGGTAGAGAACAGGGCCGAGTTTAACTCAGTCTGGATCCTGGTACCCTTTCAGGCTTACTGCCCTCCAAGCCCATCTTTTACCTGATCACAGAACTCAAAAACCAAAGTCAGCTTCTTATCACTATGAAGGACATCATGAAGCCTAGGGAAAAGGAAGGGCTCAGGAAGCTGGTCCCCGAGTACCAGCCTGGGCAGCTGAACCCCACCCTTTCCAACACCCGCAAAGACTGGTAGGGAGGACAGGCACACACACCTGACAATGTTTTTGTGCTTTAGCTCCTTAAGTAGGCAGATCTCCCGGAGGGCTGAGCTGGGCACACCCTGTGTGAGCAGGAGCCAGGCGGAGCAGTCAGAACACCCCCAGCCCCCCTTGCCCACTCTGCCCCAATCCTACCTCATCATCGTCGTCCAGCCTCACACGCTTCAGAGCCACAATCTCATGGGTCTCTCGGTTTTTGGCCTTGAACACTGTTCCATAGGTGCCTAGGGGAAGGAGGCCAGGAATGAGGGAGAGGATGGCACATCCTCCGCTACCCTAGGAAATTCCTCCCGGGAGGGGGCAGCGTCTGAGCGTGCAAGAAAAGGTCCTGCTGGGAATAGCTTTGTGAGTGAGGATGGGGCAGGTGGGACTCGGCAAGAAGGTGCCTGCAGAGGCTCAGGGGAAAGGGGCCTGCGGCCCAAGGGTAAAGAGAACTGATTAAGGTGGAGCCCCAGGAGGGTCTGGAAATAGTAAAGAGGGGTCTAGGGGAACAACGAGACCCTGTGGAAATCTGAGGTTGAAGGTCTGCAGTGAACTGAAGCTGGGGGTGGCGGTGGGGTTAGCGAGTGGTGCTGAGCCTTGGGATGGGCAGTGCGGGAAGTGCTCGCTTGGGAGGTAGCGTCTACGAGGAGTGCTGAGGTTGGGTATGGGAGTCTGCGGGAAATGCTAACAAGGGGGAGGGCTGGTGTCTGCACTAAGTGTTGGGCTCAGCGGCCAGGGCTTCTGCCAGTGCCGAGGTCGGAGCTGCAGGTATCGCTGTAGGGAGCACCAATACTATAGGATCTACGGAAGAAGACCTTGCAGGAACATGTCGTGGTTCCGTTACCTTCCCCAATCTTCTCCAGTTTCTCGTATTTCTGCATCGCGGCGGCCGCCGGGACCCCTGCGGGCCCTGGGTTCTAAGACTTCGGCCCCGGCGTTGCAGAGGAGGCGGCACCCCAGCCTCCGGGCCTGCCCGCCCTGCTGTCCGCGCACGGGATTCTGGGTCTTGTAGTCCTGGGCTGACCAGGTTTCCCAAAGACGCCCGGGGCGGCGGGCGGATGGACTACGATACCCAGCAGGCTGCGCGCTGACTCTCGCTGCGCCCATTCCCGGGACCAGGGCGCCACCTCGGAGGCCAACCCCGGACTTCAAGTCCCAGGAAGCATAGCGTATCCGCTTTCCGGGCGTCCCTCCTTGGCGCCGACGCTCCCAGTATGCCTTGCTCTTGTTATTCCTTTTCTGTGACTACGGCGGTCTTGTACCGGCAACTACGTGTTCCAGAATGCAGCGTGCGTGAGGGTGGGGCACCCTGTTTGGAGCTTGGGGTTTGGCGGCCTAGATCCTGGGCCCTAGTGGCCTAGCTCTGACCTGGTTGGTGATACTGAGTTTCCAAAGACCCCCTAAAGATCTCAGCCTAGGTTTCTACCTCTCCCAGGACACATAGTGACCCCAGGATTGATTGGACAGTGGCTCTTGTCTTGATGAAACTGATTTTAGAGGGACTAGCTGATCGCAGGTCTGGTTTCGAGGCAGGTGTACTCCATTTGCGGCTGAATTTGAGTGGAAGGACACACGTGCCAGGTACCTCTTTCTGCCAGAGCCGCTGCCTTGGGACATGCCAGGGCAAGGTGTCTGGACCTGTAAGTCCCCCAGATCCCGCCTCCAGAGCAGAGCCCACTGGAGTCAGCCAAGGTGTGGCCCACGAGGGCTGGCAACTTGGTTACCCCCATCAACAGACAAGACCACAGACAGATGCTACACTAGCAGCAGCCTTTACCTCACCCCTCCATGGAGTTGATTATAGATTTCTTTGCTCTGCTCTCTAATTGTCTCATGATTGCATTCTTGAGGGCTGTGAACTGGGCACAAACAGTCCCAAGCAGCAGCAGATCAGTGCCGGAACCAGAGTTAGTACTAACCAGGTGTTAATTAACTCATTTCTATCTGACTGCTTTTGCATAAACAATTACTGACATTTACCCTCATAGCAGATTAAAAAGGCAAAAAGTGGGTTCCTTATCTGAAAGAATTTATAACCTGGTTAGCAAAACAAGATTATGCACAAAGGTCTTTAAAAGATAAGTGGCAGCTATGAATAGGGTGGAGTTACACAGACGAGGGTGGGGATTCCCCTACAAATTGGCCTGTCTGGGTCAGCTCAGGGCAATGTGTTACCCCTCTACCAGGTCCCATTCCACCCCTCAGGCAGATCCAGAGGTTTTCATGGGGGCGCCGCGGGTTATTGGAGAGGGACAGCCGGAAAAGATTCAGATTCCTGATGTGTTTATAGTTTAACTTCCTCTGCTCCTGGGTCCCCCGCTATACATGTGCACTCCGGGTCCCCAGGGTCAGCCTAGCGCTTTCCACCGAGAGGTGCCATAATAGAGCCAAGAGAGAGCGTCCCCGGGGCGCCAGAGTCCCGACCTGGGAATCACGGGGTGGCAGCTTCGCAGGACTTGGTGAATGGGCCACGGAGGTGGTCTCCTTAGCCGGGCCTCGGGCGCCCGGCTGTGCCTCCAGGAAGCGCGCCCCCGCCGTGGGTCTCGGCCCCTGCTCTCCGCCTCTTGGCTCGACGCGCCGGGGCCGCGCACGGCGCGCTAGGAGGGCGCGCACGCAGGGGGCTGGCCGGCCCGAGGCGCGGGGGAAAGTTGAGTTGGGAGAAGTTGGGAGTGGCGGGGGCGCGCCCCGGGGTGGGCACGGGGAAGTTGTCGGGAGCGCGCGAGAGCACCGGAGAACTGGGGGAGCCCCCGAGACCCCTGGGGCCTGAAATCCAGAGCGAGCGGGTGAGCCGAGAGGTGGTGGCGGGGGAGGGCCAGGGCCGCGAGGGGAGGAAGGGAGGGGAGGGAGGAGAGGGGAAACTCGGGACTCGAGCGGGGAGGGAGTGGAAGCGGAGGAAAGGGCGGAGATTGGGGCGCGGGGAAATGAGGTGTTGGGGAGAAAGATGAGGAGGCGCTCCGAGAGCGTGGAGTCCAGGGCTCGGCGTTGGGGTGCCGCTTCGCCGGCCACCGGGAGGGAGTCCTGTCCGGGAGCTGCCGCCACCGGCTCTCCCACTCCTCCGGGGCGGGCTGGAGTAACCCTGCGCTCCTGCGGGCTCAGCACGGTCCTCGGCACCCTGCGCTGGGCGGCTGGGGATGGGGGCGGGGCCAGGAATGGGGGCTGCCGGGTCAAGTCAGGATGAGGGGTCGGGCACAGGAGGGAGCCGCCGGGTGGGGACGGGAACGTCGAGCCTGGGAAGTTAGAACTGATTCCTGGGGACTCGCCTCAACAGGATGAGCTGGGTGAGGGGGCAGCTTTGCCCGAAGTCCAGGAGCCACCCTGTCCTCCTTCTTGCCTCCCTCCAGCGAAGAGCTGAGGAATGTACGAACTCACTTGAGGAGTGGTTAATGCCCAAGTGGGGGTCCGGGTGCTAATCCCTTGGGCAAGGGGAGAGATGCTAATCCTCCGGGCTGGTCGGGGCTGGTCCCGGAATGTGCCCCCATCCGGATTATGGGCACCGATGCTCTGACAGAAGCCGCTTTGTGTTCTGGGACAGCAGGGGAGGGGAGAAGGGCCATGGGCTGATGGAGGAGGGGTTATGGAGGGGCACAGAGGGCAAAGCCAGGAGGTGGGAGTGAGAGTGCCTAGGTGCCGCAGACGAAGCCCCGCATGCCTCCCAGACCCGGTCTCCTCCCCGACACCTCTCCCCCATACTGGCAGGCCCTGGCTGCTGGCTTGCGGAGGGGGAGGTGGAAAGAAGTCAGCTGAGTTGCGGTGGTTGCCAGGAATGTGTAGCTAGGCTCCCCACCCTGGGTAGACCCCCTCAGGCCTTTTTCTGTGACCCTATGCTGACCTGTCTTTACCCCCAGGTAGCTCTCAGTTGGGTAGCTGCCTGTGAGTCGCTAGAGGCTTGAGTGCTGCCCCACGGGAATGGGCACCCTCATTTACACTGGTTGGGATCCCTCTACTTCTGCTCCAGCCCCCACCCCTCACATGCAACATCCCTACCCCCACCTCTAGCTGCCCAAGCTCCCCTACAGTCAGAGTCAGGAGGGCCACAGCCCTGCCACTCAGATTTTCCTGGCCCCAGACTAGGGACTGGAGGAATGGGGCAGAACCTTGGGGTTTCTTGTCTACCCCTCCCAGCCATCACGTGCCCCCCCCATTATAAAGCTCTGCTCAGCCTGTGCCCACTGCCTGCCCCTTCCTCCTGCCTGCTGCTGTGTAGAACTGGGCCCCTGCCCTTCACCTCGGGAGCCTATTTCTTTCAGCCTGCGGGCACAGCTGAAGGGGGGTACCCATCCCCACTAGCAGGCCCCCTGCTTGCTGTCTTGAACTCTGTCCAGATTCTTCCTCTCTGCCCCCCCTTCACAGCCCTCCGCCCCAGAGGGTGTCTTACTCCACGCCACACCCCTCTCAGCTCAGGCCCACCTCCAGGTCGCTGCGACTGGGTTCCCGTTTCTGCTGGGTTCCCGTTTCTGCGTGGCCCTGCACTCCCGTTCACTCCCGTTCCTGTCTGGTTCTTTATCACTCTCGCCTGGTCTGTGGCTCTCCAGGCAGGGCCCTGACTCCTTCCTCCCCCGGTTTCTGCAGCCTCTCCTCCTTCCAGTCCTTTCCTGCTCAGTCTCTGGGCCCTTTGTGGCCCGTGTGCCTCAGTCCTCTCCTGTGTGCCTTTGTTCTCTTTTCTTCCTATAAATAACTCCTCTTTGCTCCTGGCGCCCCTGAGGGCCACTTCCAGGCCCTTCCTAGTCTAGGAGAATCCGTGTGGCAGGTTGCTGCGGGCTCCTTCCTATCTGGGCAGCTCTGTTCTCGATGGTGACCGGTCCTGTCCCTCATCCAGGTTATGCCTCCACCTTGTTGCTCTGAAAGTCGAAACGACAGTGAAAAAGGCTAGGATTTGGCCATGAGCAGCGCCCCCCGGCGCCCTGCGTCGGGCGCAGACCCTTTCCACCCGGTGAGTACTGACTCAGGTGCCCAGGCCTGGGTCCTGCCAGTCAGGCGTGGGGGTATGTAAAGGGGGCCTGCAAAGGCTTGCAAAAGAAGCCTTGGGTGGGTTCCTCAGAGGTGCTGCTGCACCCTGACCATGTACCTGCGTGTATGTTGGGGCGCTGCTGGAATAGGGGCAGCTAGCTGTCTGTTGTCAGTCTTCTTTTTGAAGACTCAGATGGTAGTTGAACTACAGCTGGGCAGAACTTGGAGAACCCTGGGTCACAAACCTGGTGACCCCCCAGTGACCTGGCCTTAGGTAAGGGTGCACACAGAGAGGTTGGGGCTGAGTTCTCTGGTAGTGACTGGGCCCGCCCACAGCCCCGCCCTCGACCCCAGATGTCACTCTGGTCCCTCCCACCCGTCCCCCACGTGGCTACCGCCCCACAAGGCCCCCTCCTGATTTTCCTAAGAAGTCTAATGATTAACCCCAGGGCCACAATCTAACTCCCAGCATTGGTCACTTGTGGTCCTGCGGGGCACGTGACTGGGAAGGGAGCGGACAGGTGCCCTCCTCCCTCCTTCACAGGGTTATCCCGCCGGCCATGGACTTCCTCCTGCGGCCTCAGGTGCGAGGGGCGCGCGCCGCCCCCAGCCCCCGTGCCCTCCCCCTCCTCCCGCGGGCGGGTGCTTCTGGTGGGGGGGGCTGGGCTCCAGCCGGCTGTGGGCAGGTGCCAGCCCCCTCATCCTTCCATCCGGAGTCCCTGCCCAGTCCTTGCTGATCCTGACCACTGACGCCCCTCCCCACCGCCGCCCTCCTCGCGTCCCCCCAAGACCCGCCTTTCTCCCCTGCCCTTCCTGGCTCTAGCGGCTGGCACTACCATGGGGGGCTTCATACCCCCGCCCTTGGAGGTCCCGATGCCCTTCAAGTCCGGGAACTCTTGAGCAAATATTTGGCGGTGCCTGGAGCTGAGACCGGTAGGGGGTGGTGGGGGGCTGGACCAAGGCTGTCCGCCAGGCGCGGCCGCTTAGCTGAGTCGAGCTCCTCCGGTAGACGCCGCAGTCCCTGCC